GAGTTATCATTCTTGTGCACTGAACACCTCCTGAGTGAGATCTATGCACCTATGAAGTTTTTATGTTGATATCTCAAACGCTTTTTGAGTTATGCTCTGAACAAAAATTAATTTTGAAAAATAACAAAGGGCAATAACTCAAACATTATGCAGGGTAGAGTTATCCTTCTTATGAACTGAACTCCTCCTCAATGAGATCCATCCACTTATGAATTTCAAGTTGATACCTCAAATACTTTTTGAGATAAGGTCCGGACAAAATAGTATGAAAAAGAACAAAGGGTAATAACTCAAAAATTATAAAGGGAAGAGTTATCATTCTTGCGCACAGCATTCCTCCTAAATAAGATCTATCCACCTATGACATTTCATATGTTGACATCTCAAACACTTTTTGAGTAATGCTCCACTCAGGTGAAAAATTAAGTATGAAAAATAACAAAGGGCAATAACTCAAAAATTATGAAAGGTAGAGTTATCATTCTTGTGCACTGCACACCTCCTGGGTGAGATCTATGCACCTATGAAGTTTCATGTTGATATCTTAAATGCTTTTTGAGTTACGCTCCGGACAAAAATTAATTTTGAAAAATAGCAAAGGGCAATAACTCAAAAAATTTGCAGGGTAGAGTTATCATTCTTGTGCACTGCACTCCTCCTCAATGAGGTCTATCCACCTATGAAGTTTCAAGTTGATACCTCAAATACTTTTTGAGATATGCTCCGGACAAAATGTCGGACGGAAAGACGGACAGACAGATGGACGGACGGACGGAAGGACGGACGGAGACTATTTCTATATCCCCCGCCGCCTTTCGGCGGGGGATTAAAATGAGAAAGTGAAAGAACTACAATACAAGTCCCTGGTCAGGCCATAGGTTGAATATGCTTCAGCTATTTGGTCTCCGTACACTAAAACCAATATTGACAAAATAGAGATGATCCAGAGACGTGCAATAAGATCACGCCCGGCAAACTGTCGCTCCACTTCAAAATTGTGGTGTACGGTAAAACGAGCGAACGGCATTTCCGAGATAGAGCGGAAGGTCGATTTAAACGCCTAATTGTAAGTATTGTTTATGTATTTGTCTTGTTATTCATTTAAGTTGTATTTTTTCGAAAAACGGAAAATGTAGTTCCGTGTAGGATTGATTTAGGCTTCCAGTGATCTAAGCTGTTACAAAAAGAAAATTATATTAAGCCCGGGAGAACTTTTCTCCTGACGAAGCGAACGAATGATTTGTAGAATATTGAACTTCCCAACCATTGAAATGCCATACCCTTCGGATTTCTTGAAAAAGTGTATTAGTAAATTATCAACCCGTAATAAGAACTTGTCCTTCGTGCAAAATAAATTACTCCTGAAGGATTTCTTAAATTTGTAAATCGATATTTTTCGAAAGTAGTGGAGCGAAAGGGCAAGAGATGGAGCAAAAGGTTCGATGTTGAGCGCAAGGCGACATTAATTTGACGTATTAGGAGAAGCGTAGTCTATGATTTTTTTATATATATAAACTATAGAAGTTAAAATAGACGTGATCAAGTGTTGAGACCGATATATATATATACCTTTTAAAGACAACTTATTAAGTGTGATATCATTTCAACGACTATATAGCGTAATAAATGTAATCACGAAGGTGTCACCTATGGCTGCCGTGTAGATTCCATTATTTATGTTCGAAATTTGGATGAGGCCCGACCATTGAATCATACACATGTATGCATGGCATAATACAGGATGCCACTTATTCGAGATCAATCATGATTTTTCACACGGTTATTTACATTTAAAAACGTGTGTCCGTGCAAATTCGACAAAATCGAATTTGTTCAGTTCTACCGCGAACAAATGTTTCCGAGCAGGTCAGTGTAACGCGATTGTTCACGCCAAAATGTTATGTTTTTCGAAAAAATAGATATTCAAGGTGCAGAACATAAACAAAATTATGCAATGCATGGAACACATTAATTTAATGGATCACTACTACCGAGTTCAGTTCACAATGACTTCCTGTCATTAATAGCTCTAACGTACCTGTTTAGAGCAAACACAAATAAGCCACGTTTTCATGAATTTGTAAGGTGAGGAATCGCTATGAAAATGGTTGACAAGGTGTCAGTCGTTATAAGGATATAACACGTGTTTCAGTTATGTTTCTAGATACTTGAACTTCCTCCCTTATTTAGCATTGTTCTTTAGTTTTTTTATTTTCCTCTCAACGTGTAAATAGAAATTTCTACGATAACTAGGTCTATTATATTATTGATAATTTTAGTCCGTACACCGACTGAGCTCTGCCTTTTTTTATTACGTTCGTTTTGTTCATAGATAAACAAACAAAATATTTATTTTAACTTATTTTTTTCTTAAACCAAGATTTGTACTGCAGTGTTTGATTATAAAAGTAAACATTTCTATTTTCACTTTGAGAGGAAAATAAAAAAAACTAAACAACAATGAAATTCATGAAAACGTTGCTTATTTGTGTTTGCTCTGAACAGTTATGTTAGAGCTATTAATGACAGAAAGTCATTGTGAACTAAACTTGGTAGTAGTGATCCATTTAATTTAATGTGTTCCTGCTGTTCCATGCATTGCATAATTTTGTTTCTGTTCTGCACCTTGAATATCTAACTTTTCGAAAAACATAACATTTTGGCGTGAACAATCGCGTTACACGTACCTGCTCGGAAACATTTGTTCGCGGTAGAACTAAAATTTTTCGATTTTGTCGAATTTGCACGGACACACGTTTTTAAATGTACATAACCGTGTGAAAAATCATGATTGATCTCGAATAAGTGGCATCCTGTATTATGCCATGCATACCTGTGTATGATTCAATGGTCGGGCCTCATCCAAATTTCGAACATAAATAATGGAATCTACACGGCAGCCATAGGTGACACCTTCGCGATTACATTTATTACGCTATAGTCGTTGAAATGATATCACACTTTATTAGTTGTCTTTAAAAGGTATATATATTTCGGTCTCAACACTTGATCATGTTTATTTTAACTTCTATAGCTTTTATATATAAAAAAGCATAGACTACGCTCCTCCTAATACGTCAAAATAATATCGCCTTGCGCTCAACATCGAACCTTTTGCTCCATCTCTTGCCCTTTCGCTCCACTCCTTTCGAAAAATATCGATTTACAAATTTAAGAAATCCTTCAGGAGTAATTTATTTTGCACGAAGGACAAGTTCTTATTACGGGTTGATAATTTACTAATACACTTTTTCAAGAAATCTGAAGGGTATGGCATTTCTATGGTTGTGAAGTTCAATATTCTACAAATCGTCCTTCGCTTCGTCAGGGAGAAAAGTTTTCCCGGGCTTAATATAATTTTCTTTTTGTAACAGCTTAGATCATTGGAAGCCTAAATCAATCCTACACGGAACTACATTTTCCGTTTTTCGAAAAAATACAACTTAAATGTATAACAAGACAAACACATAAACAATACTTACTATTAGGCGTTAAAATCGGCCTTCTGCTCTATCTCGGAAATGCCGTTCGCTCGTTTTACCGTACACCACAATTTTGAAGTGGAGCGACAGTTTGCCGGGCGTGAAGATGGTTTAAAAGGGATTACTCCCCTCACAGCCATGCAGGAAGAACTAGACTGGCGATCCCTTGAACATCGCAGATTGGACTGTAGACTGATAATGTTTTACAAGATATATCATAACCTAGTTGCAATTAATCTCCCACCATATGTTCAAGCCCCACATAGATTAACCAGACATATGCATCCCTTATCCCTACGCCAAATACAGGTACCCCCGACTACCATAATAACTCTTTCTTCCCTCATAGCATTATACTATGGAATAAACTACCTAGTAACATTGCCACCCTGCCCAACTTGAGTCAGTTCAAACAGGCAGTGGTGGGTTTGCAGTACTAGTCTTACTCCAAGTGTTTTTAAACTATTTTAAACTATTTTAACCATGACTAGAATACATTTTCAGTCTCACCTTCCTAGCATGTTTAATGCTTGGACTTTTCTTTTCTTTTCACCTTTTACTAACAATCCGACGTGCACATGTTTAATTCCTGCCTTTAATTAACACTGGTAAGAGGGGTTGGCAGTATCCAGAGATAGATAGATAGATAGATAGATAGATAGATAGATAGATAGATAGATAGATAGATAGATAGATAGATAGATAGATAGATAGATAGATAGATAGATAGATAGATAGATAGATAGATAGATAGATAGATAGATAGATAGATAGATAGATAGATAGATAGATAGATAGATAGATAGATAGATAGATAGATAGATAGATAGATAGATAGATAGATAGATAGATAGATAGATAGATAGATAGATAGATAGATAGATAGATATAGATAGATAGATAGATAGATAGATAGATAGATAGATAGATAGATAGATAGATAGATAGATAGATAGATAGATAGATAGATAGATAGATAGATAGATAGATAGATAGATAGATAGATAGATAGATAGATAGATAGATAGATAGATAGATAGATAGATAGATAGATAGATAGATAGATAGATAATAGATAGATAGATAGATAGATAGATAGATAGATAGATAGATAGATAGATAGATAGATAGATAGATAGATAGATAGATAGATAGATAGATAGATAGATAGATAGATAGATAGATAGATAGATAGATAGATAGATAGTAATTTATTAAGTGTTTAAAAGATCTATTTAAAATATATCCATTATTAAACTTGCACTACGGTCAGGCAGACGGTGGATCATTTATTTCAAGCTAAAAATGAAACCGCATTTAGCATAGTATTAATTAATGTTCGAATATCTTCTTCGTAAATTTTGTTTTAGGTCCATTTGACCTAATACAGATGACCGAGATAAAGCGAGATAGTCTAGAGTTACTTCCCTTAGAAGTATTCGGTAACCTCCTGATATTTCCATTACGTTCCGGGAAAATTTGGAAGTTTCTTGAAAGTTCTACCACCAGGTGGCATTTACTAATGTTACTAAAAATAGAGTGCTTCGAGAAAATAAATACACGGGCAGGATGGCTGGTCGACCAATGTATCCATTTGCAAGCAATCCGAATCAAAATCAAGGAATATTACCACCTGGTTGGGAAATGATTTTCGATCATCGAACTGGTTGGCCTTACTTTGTAGACCACAACACGCATACGACGACTTGGGAAGATCCGAGAGTGAACATTTTACAGAAGGTGGGTGGAGTAAAGTTAATATTTCTTCTATAATTTTGTGGTGGAAATTCTACGCTTTATTTCTAATTACGTTTTTAATAATTAGCAAATAAACTAATAAAACGCTTTTATTAAGAGAACGGTTGCTATTAATGTAATAAACAGGTATTTGTAACCTGTAGAGTCAATTTGTTAAGATTTTATGGACAAATTTCATCTTTATAAAAATTTTCTTACTAAGGCGTTGTTGTATATTTTTCTTACTAAGGCGTTGTTGTATACATTTGTATTTGTTGTTCATCTTACCCAACCATTTCATAATATGCTGCATATACCTTACATTATTATGACAAAGTAAACTTATATTACTATTTTAGTCTTGGGTAATTTAATATTTGACTTGAATACTCATCTGTTTTTGTCATTACCATTACAGAATAATTACACTCCTCAAGGACTTGGAGAAGGGTCTAATCATCAAAGGATGAAAGAAATTCCAATAATGCATGAGCAGTCTAGACCTGCATTTCAGCAGTCACAGTTTCCACATGTATCAACCCCACCAAGATCGGGAACACCACCTCATGTAGGGACTCCACCTAGTAATCGAACTGATAGCCCTCCAAGATTTTACACATTGCCCAGGAACCATAGGGAGAGGGCACATGCTGAGACTGTGCGTGAAATTCCTATTCAACATTTTTCGTCCAATTCTTCACATTCAGGTCGGGGCGATAACTCTCATCCTAGACCAGACTACCCGGGAGCACCTATGCCCCAACCACAACAGACAATGCCTCAGCAGCCTCAAAACTTTACTAGTCATGCAACAGCGCAGGGTCATCAGGCAAATAGTATGCCGCAGCCCATGACACAGGGGTACCCATATCCTCAAAATGTTATGGGACAGACCCCTGCAATGCAATCTCAGCCACGTCAAATGGCACCACCTCCACAGATGCCACATCAGCCAATGCCACACCCTCAACAGCCAGTGCCACATCCACAGCAACCACAGTATCCTCCGTCTGAAAGGAAAGAAGGTGTGTACAATATACCTATTGTTCATGAGAACCAGACAGACAGGCACCCAAAACCACACTCAGAAAGGAATTTTCCTTCTCAGCAAGATAACGGTACTTCAACTCAAAAACCTGTAGAAAATCACCAAGCTGAGCAAAGTAAAAAACAGACTGATTATGATCAAATGGACAGTGCTCCATCTGGGCATACTCAAAATATTCAAAAGGAGGAATCAAGAAGTAGGTCAAATACACCTACAAAAGAACAGAAAAAAGTCAGAACTCCCCTGGATATCATCAATGATATACTTACAGAATGTCAGCAATACAAAGATAGAGTTAACAACTTTAAAGGTTCGAAAAAAGACAAGGAATACAAGTTGCTCGAGGAAATGTTGACTAGAAGTTTATTGAAACTGGACGGTGTAGAATCTGGACAGGATTTAAATATTCGTCAAGCAAGGAAAGGGGCAGTGCGTGAAATCCAGTCATATTTGGATCAACTTGAACTTACAGCTTTCAGTGAAGAAATGCCCAGTAGTACTGGTGACTATTCTGATAGTGCTAATAGTGGACCAGAAAAGATGGAGGAGAGTAGTGCAGAGGAAACCAAAGAAGAGAAAGATAATCGTGAAGTGAAAGAAATGGTTTTAGATAGTGAAGTTTCATGCTGATATTAGATGTAAGGAGAATTAACATTAAATTACAACTTGTTTGTGAACTTTCGAAGATTTTAAAGTACACATTCTAGGATAGGATAGTTATTTCTAAAGTGCATTTGTAATAAAAAATAAAGCTTAAAGACACCCAGTCAATGAAAATATTTCATCTTCCAACATGAAGGTGAAGAAAAAAAAATTGGTTATATTTAAGAACTGGTTGTGATTTTTTTATAAGTTTATTTTAAACCAGAGTGGAAGAACTGTGATACTTTTGAATTAAAGTTTTAAAAGTGTATTAGTCAAATTTCATGTATTTTAGAATAAATTATAAGATTTTTTTGTTTTTTGTTTAAAGATTGTTACTTAAAGCAAATATTTTGTTTCTCAAGCTGATTTTATTATATAAATTATTTTGAGTTTGGTTTAGATAGATAATAGTGTCTATTCTAGGACATCATTGTTGCAATTCTTGTTTGAAACTTTGATTCTAGTCTTAATTTATGTTTTTCTTGTAAAGTTTTTTTATCAAAAGAAAAGAAATTTTTTGGCAATCTATGTATGTGAGTATAATTCTTTGAATAATATTTTCGTTCATGCAGATGATATATCAAATGGTAATAATAGTAAATAAAGATGATAATACACTGCTAAGTTAAACATCCTTAAGTAATACAAGTATACAGCATGGTCAAAGAAAGAGTTTTGCATTATCACACTTAAATATGAAAATTTCCAGCATAAAATTTTTCTGTAGATAAATTTTATTACAGTATTGAATCCTAGAATAGACATCGACAAAGGCAGACTTGATCTTTAGTGCAATGTTTTTTTATTTTATGGCTTTGAGGTTTTGACTGAAAGTCTAGGTGGACTCAACAGAACTTTGTAGCTTGTATAAATTTGTATTTTATGCATACTTGTTAATGTATATAGCAAAAGATATTTATTAAATTTTTTTCAATTTTGCTGATGAAATAGTGTGTTGTTGTAATTTTCAGAAATAACTGCACATAAGAAATTGTCTCTAAAACACTAAAGAACCAAAATTGTCAAATAATTCAGTTGAGAAATGTCAATATTGTTGTATTCTAGATATGCATATTTTAATGTGACCATTTTGGAAATGTTAGTGCTTTTTGGTATGTTTTTCTAAGCACTAAGATTTAAAAACTTGGCCTCCTACCTGATGGGAACTGACAATATTTTACCTTTCTCACCAGTACAAAGCCTGGCCTGCTTGATTTCACTTAAGCTTTGAATGTTCCAAATTCAAAACAAGGCAAGTCTTGTCACAAAGGTTGTATTATTAAAATGTTCTGTTTTTGTTTCTTTCCGATAGAATCTCCAATGAATTCAAAGCATGGCAAGTCATTTTATGAAAGATAGAAGGAAAATGGTTAGATATCAACCATTTTAGTTTTTGTTAACGTTTATTTTTACAGGGCATTCTAAAACTAGTCTATTTCATTTTATTTTAAAGGCACATTATGCCTCAGAAAGGAATCTGTCTTAAAAAAGGGCAAGCATGAGTATTATAAGGTTTAAATAATGGTTTTAGAGCATGTTTGATGTTATTGACTGAAAGCAAGTGATGCCCAATGTGAAATTAATCAAATTATTTATCATATAGGTAGAAAAATGTAAGCAAAGTAAGAACTTAGTATTTTGACTTCCCATACAAAATACTGAATTACTATACATGTGACTGTACTATGGTAACTACCAAAAAGCAAGTACTACGGTAACTACCAAAAAGCAGCAGAACTTAAGCAAAAGATGATTCTGATAAATAGCCAATTATTATCTTTTTTTAGAAACTTATAAACGCAAAAGATGATTCTGATAAATGGCCAATTATTATCTTTAAAGAATTTTTAGAGTTCACCAAAATTGAGAAATTAAAATGAAAGCTTTGGGACATAATGGGTCTTTAAAGCATGGTGCTATTACCAATTATACAATTATTGTTTTTTTCTACTAAATGCTTTTAAACATTTGTATTGCAATAAAATAGTATTTTAAAATTGCACTGTTTTTTGTGTCATTTAAAGTCTATTAAAACATAATACTCCTAACAGCTCACCAATTGTGGCCACTTGAGATTCTATTATTTGTCCATGTGTTGATTCAATAGAAAAATCAGTACTTTAACTATACTCTTTTGTTAAAAGTAGGTGTAAAAGTAACTATTTTATTCAAAAAGAAAAAAGTTCAAATATATATCTAATGAAATATTCTTATAGTAAAGTTATGTTGTTTCCATAATTTTATGTTTAATTCTCAAAAGATTTATGAAATACAATGTCACTGTAATTTGGCACACCTGATTATTCCACTAAACTGTTAAAATGTCCCAAAATATTACGGTGTTATTTTAAGTAGGGTTTTAACTTTTAAGGCAACATTTTCCTGCAATGTGCCTTTCTCTGCGTAAATATGCAAGGATATTTCTTATGTAAAGGTATTTTGGATTTATTCTTTCCAAAATTTTACAATTATTTTCATTCAGACGATTTATACTTGCATACACTTGAAATTCAACATTGGAGTCAGTGTCAACACAGTTTCTAATTTGACTACTAGTATTCCAAGAGTAATATTTCTTATTCTTTCAAGCCTTGCCTTCCATGCTGGAATTAAATGTGATAGTTTTTATATGCCACCAGTTCAGAGCCAGTCCAAGCTTGCACATCTGTGCCAACCAACTTCATGTTTTCATCTTGATATCCCCAAAATTGAGAATGGAAAATTCCGAACAGTGGAAACTGGAAAAGTCAATTTATGGGTTAAAGGTTTTTTGTGCAAGCTGATACTAAACGTCAAACATCACTAGAGACTTATTTCAGTCTTAACATGTTAAAGATAGTTTTAAGTTATAAAGGGAAACAACTCTAGCACTTCCTTGCTATGTATTTGACATACGGAATGCACTTAATTTAATCTTCTTCATTGAATGAAAACAACTTACATGCAACTTAGTCATTTAATATTAACAATTTTTCATGTAATTTTGCTGATTCTAATGCTTCCGAGGGATCACTTTTCCCCAGATATTTACTATTTACGACAAATAATAATGCATCTGAATTGTCAAATTAATATAGATCATATACCAAGTAAAATCAATATGAGCCGCGTCACGACAAAACCAACCAGCATGGATCCAGACCAGCCTGCGCATCCGCGCAGTCTGATCAGGGCTTACAAACCTTATTACAAGTAGAGAAACTGATAGCGAACAGCATGGATCCTGGATCCATGCTGGTCGCAAACGCATTACGTTGGTTTTGTCGTGACGCGGCTCATATGTATTTCCAGCATGAATTTTCACTAATTTCAGTTCTTAACTTCCTGATTGCTGCGCCCCTTGTGGCATTACAGAAAAATATATATTTTACTGGTGGATGAAGACCATGGGTGATGGCATGAGAGGGGAACTGTAGTAGAACCACCGACGTAAAAAGTAAACTACATGTAGCTTGATATAGCTTCCTCACATGAAAGAATCCGGAGGACCTGACTGGAGTATCAGACGCACTTGCTTTTAGGTATTGACCGTAACCATTCGGCCACGGACGCCTCGGAAAAAATCAGATATATGCTTTAATCACAGGAACTTGAAATTCTATCAAATAACCAATATTAATGCACATTGATTTATTTGCCAAAGTGAGTGTTACGATTTTAGTCTGGTATGTAAATGAAAGATAATATATTTTAATATATCAGTTCCTGTCCCAGGTAAAATTCACAAATTTTCATTATGCCCACACTTATTTAATAGGAAACTAGGAAAGATATGTCGGCCCTTGATCTTACGGACCAACATGCAGTGTTTTATGAGCTCCATTTCGTCAAGAGGTAAAAAAGTGAAAGTGTAGTTTTTCACTGGTTTATATTATGTGGAAAGTTCAATATAAGACAATAAACCTCAAAATTTATGTTGGCATGCCCGTATGTATACAATTGAATGTAATCCCATCTGTATCTAATTTTACACTTATTTCGTAAAAGCATAGATTTAGCTCCATATGGTAAAAAAGGCTTTCTACAGAAAACATGAGCATTAAAGATCAAACTGAACTAGCATATGTTTATGGAGCTTTCAATTTTAAAAATACATGTAATCACAGATACATTTAGCTCTATGATGTCATTAATTTAATGAAAGTCCGTATAAGAATATTTATAGTCATTATCCGTTTTTGTTGTATTTTTATTACGGAAAAGGTAAAAAACCAAAAACGATTCTTATAAGGACGTCGAAGATACGTGTGTCTTTTATAAGAGTTTGAATACACTTTTTTCCCCATAATTTTAGTTTTCAAGATGACTCGTTTCGAATTCAACTATGATTCATTAGCCTCGTGGCTGATAAGTTTGTTTATCCCCCTCCCGAAATATCACCTCCAAGGTATTTCTGAGTCACTCCGTGGTGTTTGATTGTTCTTTTTTATTGCTTTTTCTTCGTGTTTTTTGTTTTGTGTTTGTACGTTTAATATATATTTGAAATTGCGTACTTTAATTTTATCAAATATTTTTTTTTACATTTACATTCATAATTATGTAATAGAATCTTTGAATCTGTCATAAAACGTAAAATGTTTCGCTACTTCTGAACGGAAATAAATTCTGTCAGTAACTAAATTTACCAATTATTCTGTGTAAGTATCATTTATTTTAAAAAATGAATTAATTTTAACACATTTTATATGCAAACTATACTTCAGTTTACTTTGAATGGGAAAGGAAGTGGGTTGAAGAGTGAGTACGTACGTATAGGTTTTGACCAATCAACGCGCAGAACCTAGCTGTGACATGTGCTTTATCGTTTTACCTTGTCGCAAAAACTGCACATGATGTCTGTAAACATATAATTTTACTGTATATTGCTTATTTATACATATAGCTGTTGCATGTGTGCATTAACATATAACTTGTAAAACAATAATAGTAATAAATTATTCTTTGAAATAATATTTATATAATTATTGCTGGTACTGCTAATAATGTAATCTTCATAAATCTTGTAACGTCGTTTCCGTCGGATGCATCTATATAAGTAATTGCACAGCATTAAAACGAGCATGCATTTTGTACATAATTATGGTTGATATAAATATTATAAAATCATAAATAAATGATAAAAAGCTTTTTGGTGACAAGAAAGTGCTAGCTTTTATGTTATACATGTAGTTATGGGGTACATGTGGTTTATAAAATAGATAATATAGAATCCTGAATGAACGCCAAACAATGGCAAAAATTTTTCTGAATAGCTTTGCCTTTCTGTCCAGTGCAAAAATCGACCCAAGACGATTTGCACCTGTGTAGCGATATGCTTCGGCCCTTTTAGAATTAAGTGAGGAGTAATTTAAATGTTTAGTTAATATAATATAAATATCATGCGTTGTTTGACTACTTAACAATTTCTTGGTGTGTAAGTGTATTCTATTCCCTAATGAGATCCCCTCCGTGATCGAGGGGTTAGAGTCGATGACTTCTAATCCAGTTACCTCTCTGGCGTGGGTTCGATCCCCGGTTTAGCGCGGAGGAAGTACGTAGTCTAGTACTGGTGTAACTCTCCAGGAACAATGGTTAAGAAACTACCCGCCTATATGACTGAAATACTGTTGGAAAAAGCGTAAAATGAAACAAACAAACAAACAAAAGATCCGCAAGGTTGAATTGGGAGACTTATCCAGGTCTGGAGTAGTCCAAGATGTAAATGTGCTATGTGTTTGTAATTTAGTTTCTGGTAAATGCTGATGCTGCTTGTTTTTTTTCCTCCCTTTAGCTTACATTGTTTTAATGATGTATATTATTTTTCCTTTTAACATTGTATTTTTATGCTAGTTTTATCCTCGCTGTCCATGTTTGTTTGTTTGTTTGTTTGAATCATGCAATTTCCTTTTAGTTTACATTGTATGTTATCCTCTGTGTGCTTAATCTAACTTTTCTTTCATGCAGTTGATGTTATGTGCTACTTTAAGTAAGTTAATTCAAATCTTTCAGTAATTTTTAAAAAAAATATATACTGTAGATGTAAGCTATTACTAATTTAAATGTATTTATTGTCACTTATAACTACACGTATATTATATTATAAATTAAATTGCCAGCTCATTTTATACTATAGAGTCTATAGTATTTCGTTACTTTTTAGCAATTAGTCGCTAATAATATGTAATATTTCATGTCTATATATTTTGTTTTATATTTTGTATTTTGTTTAAATTGTCATCTTACCTATATTCTTCTAAAATCTTATTACTTCTATTCATGCACTAAATGTACTTTACATTTCAGATTTGTTACATATGATAGTAAATTTATGTGTTTTGGTAAGTAGCTTATATTTACGGAAGAGCATTAGTGCCAGGTGTATGTTTTTATTAACTCGAAATTTCGAGTTACTAACTCGAAATTTCGACTTACTTATCTCGAAATTTCGACTTACTAACTCGAAATTTCGACTTAGTAACTCGAAATTTCGAGTTACTTATCTCGAAATTTCGAGTTACTTATCTCGAAATTTCGAGTAACTAGCCCGAAATTAGTAAGTAACTCGAAATTTCGAGTTAATAAAAAACATACACTTGGCACTAATGCTCTTCCGTATATATTAGCTAACGTTTCTTGTAATTAAATTAAAAATTTTAGACCGACTTAAAGCTACATGTCGCCAGATGAATCAAAATATTTCGATAAAATCAAACTTGAGGAAAAATGTACTAAGAATAGATGTAAGAAAAGTTTCAAGATTCAAGTAATATTTTACATATTATGTGCGATTAATGACTGATTTTTCAATATTTACAACTATATATCTAACGATTTACTAACACAGCAAAGGCTTTTTATGCATATTTTGACCACTTTTTGGTAATTTAAGTGTTTTTTACGTGCAATTGATAATGTCTAAATCGCTTACTTCACACAGGTATATATACATTAACAATATTACACATTCAAATGCATTTTCAAAATTTTCATGAAAATTAGGATGAATCAGATGTGCCAAAATATTTTAAGAAATTCAACTTTGAAAAAAAAAGAACAATTATTAAAAGACAAGTAAAACTATCCACAATTCAAGAAATAATTTACATGTTATAACTTGTATGCAATTTATGACTGATTAAAGAACAGTATAAAATTTATCACCATATTTCTACTGCGTGACTAACGCAGTAAGGACTATTTTTGCAGATTCTGACAAATTTTTGTCAATTATCGTCGATTTCAAGTGCTGTTTGCAATTTGTAAATTACTTTCTTTGTTCATTTGACAATAATTAACTTTTTAATGCATTTTTTTTTCTCTCTGAAAGCCTATGTCTAAAATCAAATAATCACGATCTGACAATTCTTATGATACACCGGTTATGAATTGAATTATGCAAACTCGAATTGCAGTATTGCATTGAATTGTCATTGAAACCACTTTATAGAAGAACTGTTTTGTATCATACTTGAACTAAGTGATACGTGAGTTTCCTTATTTTTATTTCATGTAGCCATCTCTTTCTTTCACGACTGTTTGAATATGCAAGTATCATAGTTTTCGAATTGCTAAATATTCGGACAAATTAATTATTCACTTTAATTATTGGAATGTTTTCTTATAGAAAACTAGAGTTCGATAAGTTTTCGTTTAGAAAACACATTCCTTTCAGATGTAATGTTATATGATGATGAAGATAATTACAAACTGACATCTATTTTCACAATTAACTTCTTAGAAGACCATGTGGGCGTGTTGTAATTGTTATTGTGTAACAAACATGCATTACCAGAGACATAGATAACAGAGATAGGCAACTTCCTAGCCAGTTCAAATATCGCGGGTGCTAGTTCTGGCTTCCATAACTTTATATGTCACTTTTATTTTGACGTGCAACAGTAAAAGAACAGGTCTAGCAGTACTATAAAATCTGTTCGCTGAAGTCTTTTTAGCTACACTCGTGCCTGCTAAACTTAAACCTTGCAGCAAGTAAAACTTACTAACCAGATATCAAAATCAGTAAAATAATACATTTTCTGAAAGCTTGTTTATTTGTCTATGGCTGCAGGTAAAAATATTTACAGTTCCCATTTAAATAAATATAATAGATCATTTTGTAAAGAGAACTTAACTTAATATTTTTTGTTACAAATAATAATTTTTGTTACAAAACTATTCATATGGCAAAAAACTGACTCAGTGGGTATGTTCTGCCATGTCTTTCTAAGTGAAGGGCATAGAAAGCTACCAATATTTTAACATGCAGCAATAGATATAAGATTTAACTTTCAAATGGTATATAATATTAAAGGATCAAATGTATATCCATTAAGTTTTATTTGCTACAAAATGCCTAATTTTTCACTTTTTGATAGGCATGAGTGATATTTCAATGGAGTATATAGGAGCTGCTTATCTCTGTTATCTATGTCTCTGGCATTACTGAGTACTGCAGTACGTACTGCACTCCTATTTCAAGTACTGGTATTGATACTGAATTACACAAAGTTTTGCTTCTACAGTCCGACCCCGGTTATTCGACAACCCATTATTCGAATACCCGGCATTATCCGAAGTTGATCTACGGTCCCGTTTTCATCTCTATATAAACTAATATAAATACCAACGTATTATTCGAAATGCATTATCCGAATACCTCCTATTTTTCGAAGCAAAATTTCGGTCCCGATTATATCATTATATAAGAATTTCACACCTATTATTCGAAGCCAGACTAATTGGCACTGATTGACTCGCTGACCGTCCCGACTTGTGAAAAACTTTGCGGAAAAACTTCTAACAACGGTGCATGTATTTAGTTAATCGTGATAATAACGATTTGCGTGTACATTTTCAACTTAAATTACCTAACATTAATTGTACGCTTTTAATTGGACGGTTTAAAGCGTTCAAAATAATCATTTTAATTAGTGAATGAAACTAAACAAATGAAAATAAACTGTGATATTAATTGGACGGTTAAATCTGTTCAAATTAAGATTTTAATTAAAGAATAGATTGAAAAATTAAACAAATAAAAACAAACAACTAGCGAACTGTGTCATGTTTTTCTTTATAAATGTGAATTCCCAGTTTCTATTTCAAATCAGTGCAATATGTCTACGTTAGCACAAGATATTCTTGCTGAGCAATCTTGGATGTTTAATATTACCGAAATGCGTCTGTGAAAATTACATTTAGAAGTGAAAAATAATATGACTTTTCAAGTTGCTTGTTTATATGTTGACGAAGATAAAATATTAATATTACTTGTATAATGTTGAATACATTTGTAATGCATGTACGTGTACATCTATGATTTAAATCCTGCGCCGTGCCCGATGTTGTTTTTTTCTCTCATACGGAAGATGACAGCGATATTTTTAATGTTCATTCATGTTTATATTAACCTATACGCTATATGTGCTACAGAATCTGGAAATAAAATGCAAGTAGTTATGTTTAAGTTAACAATAAAAATATTTTAAACATTTATCATTGTTTATTTGTTTTTCTCGATTGATTACCGGTAACAGATGAGTTGTAAACATTTAATTCCGCTAGAATTTGCGATATGGTCAAGTGGTGTAGTTTTTGTCTATCACTATGTTCGGATTTGGATTATTCGAACCCATCGATTTTTCGAAGTAAATTTTCAGTCCCGAGAACTTCGAATAATCGAGGTTGGACTGTACTGGTACAGCATAACTGTCCCTAAACTTTGATGTACATAAAATATTGACAGGGGTAGATATCATTGTTAATGTTATCTTATACTAATTTATTTATTTATAAAAGATCAAAATTTTAAAAAATGAATCTTATTTAAGAACATCATGTTCAAAAATTTAAAAGGCATCCATGGGTATTTTATATAATTTATATTCTATAATATTTTCCAGGGCTGATCTTTCTTATTTATTTTAATTACAGGTGTCTGATTGCTCACTTTAAATCATGCAGTTTAACTTTTCCCCTGAAATTCAATTGAAATTAAGTTCTTGTGTATTTTTGCAAAAAGTATTGTGTGTTTTCCTACTCAAATTTTAAAAAGGAACCCCTTCCAATACCTATGAAAAAGCCCTGTTTGCTGACCTTGCTCCTTATGTTTCAGTTGCTGTTTAGATGAAGAATGGAGTTTGCAGAGTTCATAAAGACCCCTATGGTGGATGGTGTTACATTAAAGAAACCATTTTGTAAACCAGTAGATGGTACCCTTTGCATCACTGGACATCATCTCATTTTGTCCTGCAGGAAGGAAAACAAAGAAGAATTATGGGTAATAATGACTAGTTTGATTTATGGACACTGTTAGATGTAATTAAATAAATTATAACTGGCAATTTTAGATTACATGTAATTTATGTTTACTGTTGGATTTGATTGAAATATGGAAAATGTAAGATTATATGGAATAATGGGGAATTCATGTCAAATGAGACTTTTAGGTGATGTCAGATTACACTGAATTGTGGGTAAAGTCAAATAAAATCATTACAAGTGTTGGTAATTGTCAGCTTTATGTTAATTGTTTTATTTAATTTTTAGCAATGTTAGATTATTTAAAAAAGGAATTAATTGAAATGTCAGATGAGACTGAGATAGTCTGTACAACATTTCTATAGGATTCGTATCTAGATTGATGTCTTAATGTATGAAAAAACAATCACATTTCCATCCATTTATTAATTTATTTTTTCATTAACTATTAACAACAGCTGCTGCACACAAGTGTTGATAGTGTAGAGAAAAGGTTGATTGGATCAGGTGGTGTGATTTTTGTTCGCTGCAAGGATTTTACCCTCCTATCTCTCGATATACCTTCAGCAGAGGACTGTATTAATGTTGCTAACTCCATAGAACAACTGTCGAATATAGGTAAGGAAATTGGAAGGACTAACTTGAAGGAACTGGGAATATTAACTCAGACTTTTCTACCATTTGATGTAGGTCTGGACGAATAACATGTGTAAAATTTCAGATCATTTATTCACTCTGTTTTCCAAAAATATTTTTTTTATTGTGCAAAATGAACAATAATGAAAAGCGTTGCGATGCTAAAAACAAGTTAAAAATTAGGTGATAAAATGATTTTCAATTTATTTCTATGTTTAGTTCTTTATTATATTTTACAGATTTTTCCATTTTACGTGCATCACTTGATCTATATAAGAATTCAAAATCTTTGTTTTTAACCTCAGTGCAGCTCCTTTAAGTTTTATTATTTCAGCAAAGAATAACTAAATACAATAAAGAATTACTACAGTGTCTGATTGTCATTAATTATACTTGATTGTGGTGAAAGCTTGAAGCATATTTGAATTTCTCCCAAGTTTGCTTCTAAGAACAAACCGGTACTGGTGTCACATGAGGAAACATGGTGGTGGCCAAAGTAGGGCTTGATCTCTTGGTTGAGAGGCAGATACTATAACCACTAAGGGACCATTCCCAAAATTTTTGACTCTACTTTATAATTCAGTAATACAGATTGTGGCAACAGACTTAAGTCTCTCTTGGTTTCCAATGTAAATGCGGATTGTAGTCATTAGTTACTGTGCTGTGCATTCTCTGATAAGAAATTTGATTCAGGCAGCATGACTTGCATTGGAGAGAAAACTTCTCTTTGCTTAGGGGCTTGAATCTTAGTAAGGACATTAGCTAGCATATGATTTAAATGATGAAATATGATAGAAAGATGTATACCTGAAGATAACATGAAGGAAAACCTGAGGACACATAGAGTGATTCCTGAGGACACAAGTAGTGATACTTATGGACACATGGATGGAAACCTAAGGACACATGGAGGGATACTTGAGGACACATAGAGTGATTCCTGAGGACACAAGTAGTGATACTTATGGACACATGGATGGAAACCTAAGGACACATGGAGTGATTCCTGAGGACACAAGTAGTGATACTTATGGACACATGGATGGAAACCTAAGGACACATGGAGGGATACTTGAGGACATATGGAGAGATGGGTACCCTAGGAATTCTCTGTTGATAGAGTTGGAAAGTCAGCATTAGACCTTGACTTAAAGTGAAACAAAAAATACCAAAACTTTTCTCAGTCAGTCATACCATCATGGAAAGATTGTGAATATAAAAATACAACATTAAATTGTATTGTGTTTGTAAATTTTCAAAAGATTAATGTAATTTTATCAAGTTTTCTAAATGATTTGATTAAATTTTGCAGATGATGTAACATTGAAGTATCCGTTTTTTTACCGCCCATCATTTGAAATTCTTGAGGATGGTTGGCAGGCTTTTAAACTTGAGTCAGAATGGAGCAGGTACAAGGAATGTGCTGAGGAGTGGAGAATTACAACAGTTAATTCTGATTATAAAGTATGTATACATTAATCTTCCATATAAGACAGGATTATCTACTGTTCACTCAGCTCATTTTGCTGTTTTAAATGAAGTTGTACAAAAAATTCATATGCTACTATTATAAAAAAAGAAAGAAAAAAATAAAATATTAGTTTTCATAATTTTGTTCAGAATTTATGATTTATATGATATATGCAAGTAAATGAATCAAACACTGGCCGGCATCATTCGAGGGAATATCTAGCTCTTGTGTAAATGTTTTGCTGAAACTTGGAATAGCCTCCTTACTGCCATAAACATTTACCCTGGTGGTAGATATTTTAGTCTGTACCGTCAGCCGGTGTATTATTCTTACAATCTCTTAACTGATATAACAGAAAGAAATTTTGAGTTTTCGCAAGTTGAAGTAGTGCCAGGCCAGCCTTGCTTTCCTTATTATATAGGAAGCTTTTCTGCTCATTGACTTTACTCGGGTGCGAACTAGTACCTGAATTGTTGATGCTGAGAGGATTGTCTGATATTCCCTCTATTTGTTATTTCAGCTTTGTTTATCATATCCCAAGTCAATGTTTGTGCCAAAATCAATCACAGATGAAATGTTGGTGAAGATATCTCAGTTCAGGCAAGGTGGAAGGTTTCCGGTGCTCAGCTATTACCACCGAGATAGCAAGGTCGGTTCTGAAATTTGTCTATTGACTATGATTATCATAATGACCATTTGTAGTTGATTGGTAATTATTTGTATACAACAATGTGATTAAAACCATGTTATGATGAATTGAGATACAGTTAACTTATATTGCAACAATTGATGGTTGATATAAAAACCCAATATAAAACTGATGCTACTGTTTATTTTTGAAATGTTAAAAGTTCTCTTGGTGCTCAAACACATTTTTCTTTAAATGTGTTTGAAAGGCCAATGCTCATGACACTGTTAAATTTTTAAAAAACATTAGAAAACAATGATTTTGGCACATAAACAAGGTTAGCATTAGAAACACAGTACAACAGGTTGTTGCTAAGGTGTGTTGCACTAGGGAAGAAATTATACTGTTGCTTTAAAGAGATAGCCCAGGGTTCTATGATATCACGGTACTTAACGTTTATCAGAAAATTTATAAATATAAATATCATAACTGAATGAGATTTTTCTTCCATCTTATAATTGAACCTTTTCCAGAATTGTTTGTCAAAAAATTATTTCAAAAGAAGCAATAAAAATGACATTTTTCAGGATATTTTCAATGTCTGCCATTTTAGGTAATTTCAGAGGTGGTTACTATGGTATCAAGGTAATCCCCCCAAAAAAGTATGGAAGGATAGATGGGTCAAAACTTTTAAGTTAAGTTGTGAAAAACTTCCAACCAACAGTGAACTTGCTATAAAATTAAAACTATATGAACAGACTATATGTCAGTATATGTGTTTATGACATATTTTAATTGACTGTGTAAAAACCATTAAGGAAAATGGTAGTCAAATATGAAGGTTTTATGAAATAGTTTTCTTGCCACAAATACATTCATTATTCACCAAATTAAATTTATTGGCAGATGAAAATGAATCTAGTGTGCAAGTTTTACAAATATTAGCATCATCATGTGTCGCTTTTACTAGCAGTCACAGAAAATTTAAATACCTTGATATCACAGAACCCTTGATATCATAGAACCCTTGATATCATAGGAACCGAGTATTATACATGTAATGGCTTAACAGAAAGTACACTCTGAAGAGGTTGCACTGTAATACATGCTGGCATATTTTGATTGAATCTTAAAGAGAATATCATTGAATGTTGGTTTCTTACCACAGCCTGTTTCGACAGAAGCTACATACTAATAAACCCAGAACACTTGTATATTTTTGCACCACTAGTCAAGATGATAGACAATAGCATTGTTGTTTCATATACATGCAGTTTTCTCAAATCCAACGCTTACACAGATTTGTTAATGTTGCTGTACTTTTGTACCCTCATATTTGATTAGACGTTCTTTATATTTATATTGTCTATATACATAGCTGCTGCAAAGCAAGGAATTCACTTGAAATTTGTATCTAAGAAAGCAATCATGCTGTTTGATAAATCTCAATTAAGACTTCACTGCTGTCTGTGGAATAAGTCAGATAAACCAAACCAGTAATTTTCAGCTTGATGGATAAAGTTAAAGGTTTCCACTTTCAGGCAGTGTTAATGCGATGTAGTCAGCCACTAACGGGGACGAGTGGTAAAAGATGTAAAGAAGACGAGAGGCTAGTTAATGCTGTGCTCGGTATAGGGAAGCGTGGTTATATTATCGATACAAGATCGCAAGGCCTTGCGAAACAGGAACAGAAAACTGGTGAGTGAGATCATCGGAAATATAATAGCGTTACTAAATTAAGAGTACCAATCTTGAACTTGTATTATACTCTGGTGGATTTTACTATGCTGCGATATGATGAGGCTCAGAAGTGCCATGTGTGATTTGTTCTAATTAAATCCCTGATCAAATCCTACCTCTGTCAAGCTTTGAACATTCTTAAGCAAATGTTTGTTTGGAGACTTCTTGATAATATTTCAATTTAATTTTTTTTTGCAATGGCAAGATAGGAACACCATTTGAATGTGTCTGATGTATTGATGAAAATCAATATTCCCCTTTAATACTACATTTGTATTTTCTTAATATTTGACTATAGAATCTTACACAAGTTGCCATTTAAGACAAATTTAACAAACAAGTTAAGTAAATTGTTATGTATAACATTTTCTTGGACAAGTTTAATAAAATTTTATATTGTACTTGTATATGATTGACTACAAATATGAGATTCTTTTAATCACATGACTGAAAACATTAAAATTAATGAACACAAAGCTTTATGATTTATGTGCTGTTTATCTGGTAAAATATACAGGCAAAAATGTTGTCATGGAATATACATGAACATATTTAATAGAAAACAAGTTATGTGATGTGATAATTCTTATTATCACTGGTTGTTTCTTGTTGTTATTTAAATATCATGCATAAAGTATGATAATCAGATTGAACAGAAGTTAACAAAACTTCCCTTTTCCAGGATAGTGATAGCTCTATAATTTGGAATGAATTGTTTGTTAATTTATTTAAAGGTGGAGGGTACGAGCCCGAGGCCCATTATTCTCAGTGGAAGAGAATCAATCAGTCAATAGAGAGGCGCCATGTCTTCCATGAGTCTGTCATCAAACTAAATGAAGGTACGATAAACAATGCAGTGTTTTTTTCTTTTTGTTGGTATTTCCAATGAAGTGCCCTGTTTTTAATATGCTAAATATATTTAGTTTTCGCAAAGCAGTGTAGTGTTTTTTTCTTTTTGTTGGTATTTCCAATGAAGTGCCCTGTTTTTAATATGCTAAATATATTTAGTTTTCGCAAAGCAGTGTAGTGTTTTTTTCTTTTTGTTGGTATTTCCAATGAAGTGCCCTGTTTTTAATATGCTAAATATACTTAGTTTTTGCAAAGCAGTGTAGTGTTTTTTTCTTTTTGTTGGTATTTCCAATGAAGTGCCCTGTTTTTAATATGCTAAATATATTTAGTTTTCGCAAAGCAGTGTAGTGTTTTTTTCTTTTTGTTGGTATTTCCAATGAAGTGCCCTGTTTTTAATATGCTAAATATATTTAGTTTTCGCAAAGCAGTGTAGTGTTTTTTTCTTTTTGTTGGTATTTCCAATGAAGTGCCCTGTTTTTAATATGCTAAATATACTTAGTTTTTGCAAAATGTTGTAAATGATTATTCAGAAATAATAGTTTGTGTTCAGTCAAGACTATTTTCCCCCTATATACATTACTGCATAAAATTTTCCTTTATGGCTGGGTCCGGGTCCCAAAAGCGTAGATAATTTCTTTTATAAATGCTACAAAAAAATATTTTTTTGATCTCTATTTTCAGCATGTTCTGACACAGGGGCAAGTCAGGATAAATGGTTGTCTAAGCTAGAGTCCAGTAACTGGTTATCACATGTAAAGGATATCATCACATGTGCATGTCTAGTGGCCCAGTGTATTGATAAAGACTGTAAGTACAAACAAGAAGTTTACACAAGAATTGGGTATCGCTACTGCAAAAGTATTTTGATATTATCATGATATCTTTGTTGCATAGTATTATGATACATTTTGACAACATGTATGCAGGTAGTAATGTTTAAGTCTTTGTAAGTATATATTCATCAGTTCTATATGTGTTTGATCTGCTTTACCATTTTAAAGACTACAATCTTGACTAGAGCAAACTTAAAATCTTAACAAGCAAAATATATCCCTGATATAGATACCTTAAAATTGTGTTGCAATTATGTATTGTGATAGCAATAGATTTATAATTGCAATTCTTTGACATTTCAATAATTTTGGACCATCTTTATGTAATATGACATACTTAACATAAGATTCACTTGTTTTTGTGAAAGTAGCAATAATAACTTGGCTGTGTCACCAGCAAAAAGTCATGCGGATCTTCATGTAAGTGAAATCTGGTCAGATAATATACAGTTGGCTGTTATATTGTAGCTTCTGAAAAGCTTAGCCTCTGTTTAATAAGGAAAAAATACAAACTTAAAACGGTATTTTTTATCATTCTATAGATAATTTGTTCTACTTTTAGCGGCATGTGTGTTGGTACATGGATCAGAAGGTTTAGACACGACTCTACAAGTAACATCGTTAGCACAGCTGCTTCTTGACCATGATTGTCGAACTTTTACAGGGTAATGTTTTATGTTATATATGTCAACTTATCAAAGGTCATACAGCTCCCCTGGTATAATATTACGTATACACACTTTTTAGCTCGACTATTCGATAAGAATAAGTAGAGCTATTGTAGTCACCCGAGCGTCGGCGTCGGTGTCCGCGTCGGCGTAACCACTTATGTTAAAGTTTTTGTAATAGTTCAAATATTTTCAAAGTCCATTGACATATGGCTTTGAAACTTGGCACACTTGTTCACCATCATGACCCCAACCTGTAGACAGGAGGAGGTAACTGTATCAAGCATTTTGACAGAATTATGCCCCTTTTTCGACTTAGAATTTACGTTAAAGTTTTTGTAATAGTTCAAATATTTTCAAAGTCCATTGACATATGGCTTTGAAACTTTGCACACTTGTTCACCATCATGACCCCAACCTGTAGACAGGAGGAAGTAACTGTATCAAGAATTTTGACAGAATTATGCCCCTTTTTCGACTTAGAATTTATGTTAAAGTTTTTGTAATAGTTCAAATATTTTCAAAGTCCATTGACATATGGCTTTGAAACTTTGCACACTTGTTAACCATCATGACCCCAACCTGTAAACAGGAGGAGGTAACTGTATCAAGCATTTTGACAGAATTATGCCCCTTTTTCGACTTAGAATTTACGTTAAAGTTTTTGTAATAGTTCAAATATTTTCAAAGTCCATTGACATATGGCTTTGAAACTTTGCACACTTGTTCACCATCATGACCCCAACCTGTAGACAGGAGGAAGTAACTGTATCAAGAATTTTGACAGAATTATGCCCCTTTTTCGACTTAGAATTTACGTTAAAGTTTTTGTAATAGTTCAAATATTTTCAAAGTCCATTGACATATGGCTTTGAAACTTTGCACACTTGTTCACCATCATGACCCCAACCTGTAAACAGGAGGAGGTAACTGTATCAAGCATTTTGACAGAATTATGCCCCTTTTTCGACTTAGAATTTACGTTAAAGTTTTTGTAATAGTTCAAATATTTTCAAAGTCCATTGACATATGGCTTTGAAACTTTGCACACTTGTTCACCATCATTACCCCAACCTGTAAACAGGAGGAGGTAATTGTATCAAGCATTTTTTTTTACTATCAAGCACTAAGAATAGTCGAGCGTTGCTGTCCTACCGACAGCTCTTGTTAACTTACCTGAATAAAAAGTGGTCATGTTCATTGGATGAAATGCATATACATGTGCATCCATAATCAATATTTCATATATAAATTGCTGAAGCTGTTACATGAATGTATTGACATAAAATTCATATGCCTGTCATAACAGCATATCAGTAACTTTGCTGAGTAGCCTTTACCCGAGGAAAAATTAAATACTTGATTTTGTTTTCATTTTCTCAAAAAGTATGTAAAACAAAATATATGTTCAAATATATGTAATCGTTCTTGTTGACTTGTAGATTGTTTTGCCCCATTAGCCAGTTAACCTTTTTGGTAATCTTTATTTCTCAAAAAGTACCAAAGATATTCACTTTAAAATTTGAATATCAAATTTGGAATTCATTTCTAAAGGGTAGATTATCCTGAAAGCTATTTTTGTTTAATTATCAACCTTTTTAGCTCACCTGTCATTTTGTGACAGGGTGAGCTTTTGTGATCGCTTTTCGTCCGGCATCCATCCGTCGTCCGTCCGGCGTCCGTAAACTTTTACTTTAAATGACATCTCCTCATAAACCACTAAGCCAATTTCATCCAAACTTCACAGGAATGTTCCTTTGGTAGTCACCTTTGAAAATTGTTCAAAGAATTTAATTCCATGGAGAACTCAACCAAAAGAATGGTTGCCATGGCAACCAAAAGAAAAAACTTTAAATATCTTCTTCTAAGAAAACCAAAGAGCTAGAGCTAAGATATTTGGCATGAAACATTTTCTAGTGGGTGTCAACCAAGTTTGTTCAAATAAAAGCCCTAGGGTCAAAATTGGCCCAGCCCCAGGGGGTCATTGATTTTCCCTATATGTATATAGTAAAAACTTAAAAATTCTTCTTTTAAAGAACCCAAAGAGCTAGAGCTAAGATATTTAGCATGAAATATCTTCTAATGGGTGTCTACCAAGTTTGTTCAAATAAAAGCCCTGGGGTCAAAATTGGCCCCGCCCCAGGGGGTCATTTATTTTTCCTATATGCATATAGTAAAAACTTAAAAATCTTCTTTTAAAGAACCCAAAGTGCTTGAGCTAAGATATTTAGCATGAAACATGTTCTAATGGATGTCTACCAAGTTTGTTCAAATAAGAGCCCTAGGGTCAAAATTGGCCCTGCCCCAGGGGGTCATTGATTTTCCCTATATGAATATAGTAAAAACTTAAAAATCTTCTTTTAAAGAACCCAAAGAGCTAGAGCTAAGATATTTAGCATGAAACATGTTCTAATAGATGTCTACCAAGTTTGTTCAAATAAGAGCCCTGGGGTCAAAATTGGCCCAGCCCCGGGGGACAATGATTTTCCTTAAATGTGTATAGCAAAAACTTAAAAATCTTCTTTGAAAAAAACCCGAATAGCTAGAGTTTAGATATTAAGCATGAAACATCTTCTAGTAAGTGTCTACAATGATTGTTCAAATAAAAGCCCTGGGGTCAAAACTGGCCCTGCCCCAGGGGTGTCATTGTTTTTAAATATATATGTAAGAAAAGACTTAAAAAATCTTCTTTTAAAAAACCCAACGAGCTAGACCTTAGATGTTTAGCATGAAACATCTTCTAACGGTTGTCTACCAAGTTTGTTTGAATAAAAGCCCTGGGGTTTAAACTGGCCCCACTCTAGGGGGCCTATATACAGGTGAGCGACTTCAGGGCCATCATGGCCCTCTTGTTTGATATCTATATTTTCCTAATTTTTATCAACAAAAATCAAAGAAATTTACTTCAAACTTAATTTAATAGATATTGCTGTATATACATTTTGTAATAGATAGTTTATCTTACACCTGATTATGGCAGATAGGATTGAAATTCAATAGAGCCGATTATGGGAGGATAAAATCATGGGAAAAAATGCTGATGAAAGACCTCACTTTGAATGCCTTCTAAATGGCCAGGGTTTTAATGAATGCAGGATCTTGCATCATTTTATCAATAAAAGTTTTTTTGGGTGCACAATTCTCAAGCTCTCGCACCCAATTGGATTCATGAAAAATATGATGCTGGCTTAACCTGATAAAAAGTTCAAATCCCTTGCAGTACACATATTTTTGTTGTATGTAAGATATAATAAGTGTACCCTAGAGTCTTTAGTTTAGTCCTGAAATTTGTTGAATTATTTATTAGACCCCCAGTATCAGTGGTTGGACCCCTTCTATTACAGAACCTATAGCCACCGGACCCCTGAAAATTAAAAGTGGTGTTAATCCCAGAATGGCCAATTATTGCTTAACCCCATCTGGCATGTTGAATAATTGCTTAGATTAATCTACTTAAATAAATCTACTGGTACATTAGAAGAAGTGTTTTAGTTTCATTAGAAGAAGTGTTATAGTTTTTGGAAAAATGGTTAGTATACTTCTTCAAATGGTCCAAATAATAATTTTCAGCTAAAGATGTAGAAATATTCTTAATCTTTTGCTTAAGCTATGCTGATAGGTCAAGGAAAAGATTTGTCCTAGAATATTAGACAAATAGTTGTCCTACTGAACATTTTGTTGTGGGTCTTATTGAACATTTTTAACTGAATACATTATTTGTTAATCAATGCTTATAGAACTATAACATTTCCTAATGCTTTAGGCTATTAACTGAGTTTGATATTTTGTTTTTATGCCACCGCAGCATCTGCGATGCGGTGGCATATAGCGATTCACCTGTGTGTGTGTGTGTTTGTTTGTGTGTGTGTGTGTTATATAGATTATATAGTGAACTTCAAAAATCTTCTTGTGAAAAACCTCTGGTCCAATTTCAACCAAACTTGGCAGGATTGATCCTTGGGTGAAGGGCATCCAAAGTTGTTCAAAGAATTTCATTCCATGCAGAAATCTGGTTGCCATGGCAACCAAAAGGAATTATAAGAATAAATTTAAAAAATCTTCTTGTAAAGACCCAAAAGGCCTAGAGCTTAGATATTTTGCATAAAGCATTGTCTGGTAGACCTCTACCAAGATTGTTCAAATTATAGCCCTGGGGTCAAAATCGGCCCCGCCCCGGGGGTCATTGATTTTCACTATATGTACATATAGTAAAAACTTAAAATACCTTCTTGTAAAGACCCAAAAGGCCTAGAGCTTTGATATTTTGCATAAGGCATTGTCTGGTAGACCCTTACCAAGATTGTTCAAATGATAGCCCTGGGGTCAAAATCGGCCCCGCCCCGGGGGTCATTGATTTTCACTATATGTACATATAGTAAAAACTTAAAATACATTCTTGTAAAGACCCAAAAGGCCTAAACCTTAGATATTTTGCATAAGGCATTGTCTGGTAGAGTTCTACCCAGATTGTTCAAATGATAGCCCTGGGGTCAAAATCGGCCCCGCCCCGGGGGTCATTGGTTTTCCTTATATGTATATAGTAAAAACTTATAGTAAAAACTTTAAAAAAAATTCTAGCAATTGACAAATGCTAGAAGTTAGATATTTTGCATGAAACATTGTGTAATGAACCTCTAGCAAGATTGTACAAATGCCCTGGGGTCAAAATTGGCCCCACCCCCAGGGGTCATTGATTTTCACTATGTACATATAGTAAAAAAAAAAAACTTCTTGTCTGAAGGTACAAGGCTTAGAGATTTTATATTTGGTATGTAATATCATGGGTCCTCTACTAAAGTTGTTTTAATTATGCCCCTAGTGTTAAAATTGCCCTGCCCCAGAGGCGATAGTTTTCCTTATATGTATAAAGTCAAAACTTGAAAAACTTCTTCTCTGAATTTACAAAGGCTAGAGGTTAAATATATGGCATTAGACTTTGCGAAGTGAACCTCTACCAAGATTGTTCAAATTATAGCCCTTGGGTCAAAATTGGTTCCACCCGGGGGTCATTGATTTTCATTATGTACATATAGTAAAAAAAAAAAATAAAAAATATTTTTGTCTGAAGAAAACAAGGCATAGAGCTTTGATCTTTGCTATATAATATCATCTATAGGTCCTATACCAAAGTTGTTCAAATTTTTCCCTTGGTGTCAAAATTGGCCCTGCCCGGGGGCAGTGATTCTCATTATGTACACATAGTAAGAACAGAAAATAAAAACAAATGTTTTCTGAATGGGGAAAGCTACAGCTTAGATATTTGACTTGAAATGTTGTTTGGTGGACCTGTATCAAGATTGTTTTGAATTAAACCCTTGGGTCAAAATTTTGCCTTGCCCAAGGGGAAAGTGACCTACTTTCTTATCCTTTGATGTACAGCAATGAAATTTTGACCATGTGCACAGTTTAAGTTGTAAAATTGAACTTTGATATCAGGTGATCTAGATTTTGATGATGTGACCTACTTTCTTGTCCTTTGATGTACAGCTATGAAATTTGAACCATGTGCACAGATTAAGATGTAAAGTGAACTTTGATATCAGCTGACCTAGATTTTAACAAAGTGTCTTACTGTGTTGTCCATTGATATAGTCATGAAATTAAGGCTGTGTGAAAATATGACCTTCACCACCAAATTCACCAGACTCAAGTGCATTGATATATTCCTACTCTGATCTTTTATTGGATTAACAATAGATTCAACCACTAATCTGATGATAAGAATTAGATAGGTCAGGGATCTATGCATTATGACAATCTTCAATTGTATAGAAACAAAAAATATCTGTTCCTACACTACTATTTAGTGTTGTATTAATGCGGTGGCATAGCATTTTTCTCAAATGCAATCTTGTTGATTTTATGTTTGTAATGGGTTATAACTCTGATTTCTTTTACAGATTTGAAGCCTTGATTGAAAGAGAATGGCTGCAGGCTGGACATCCTTTTGCTGACCGATGTGCTAAGTCTGCTAATGCAATAACTAAATATAGACAAGAGTCTCCTGTCTTCTTGCTATTTTTAGATTGTGTATGGCAGGTGAGTGTGCTATATTTAGATGTGTTAAGATTGTGTTGGGCAAAGGAGTATGCTATATTAAGATGTCTATAGATAATGCTAAATTTAGACGTGTAAATATTGTGTTTGGCGGGGGTATGTATTATATTTAGAAGTGTAAGGCTTGTGTTTGGTTGGGTATTGTGTACAACTGTATAGGGCACTCAGATTATGATTATGAGAATGGGCTTATTTTCTCTGCAGTCTAGATGGAAAAATAGCATACAGTGCTGAAGGTTGAATTTCAACTTTGACTTAGCATAATTTTGTATATTTAGTTTGCCATTTGGCCTTTCAAAAACCTAGTAATGGCACTCTTCATATTAAATAGGGGCCTCCATGCTTGGATGGTTAAGGTCTGCAACTTCAAGCCACTGGTCTGGTATGTCTTGGTCATGGATTCGAATCCTGTCAGGAACTTTGGATTCTTCTATGTGAGGAAGCTATCCAGCTAGCTTACGAAAGGATGTTAGTTCAATTCAGGTGCCTGCTTGTGCCTTAAATATTTCACTAAGGGGCACCTTAGGTCTTCCTCCACTAGTAAAGTTGGAAAGTTGCCATATGACCTATATAGTGTCAGTGTGATTTAAATCCAACAAAAAGGAAATAACTTATGAAATCACTGTACTATGTCTGTTAGAATGAATGGACCTCTAATTGTAATATTAGCCGGTAATTTTGTCATTTAGAACTCTTAGAGACATTTCTCCTTGATGACAAATATACATTTAAATATTAAATAGGAAACTTTTGGTGACCTTTGAAATACTTAAGAATAGAATGACTTTTGTTTATTGTTTAGATCTGGCAACAGTTTCCATGTTCTTTTGAGTTCAGTGAAGATTTTCTGATACTTTTGTTTGAGCATGCGTACTCATCCCAGTTTGGTAAGTTCAGTGATTTATTATCATATGAAGTTATAATTGAATTACATTGTTAGTATTTTATCAAATTAGGTTCCGGGTTATGTAAGCTTACAACCTGTTTAAGCTAAAATATGCTCATATTTGACATTAGAAAATATTGATAATTTCTACACAGTAAATATATACTTAACATGTTTAGACTTCACAATATGTAGATATGGTATGTTTTAAATTCTACACACTATTGGTGGTCACAGTTTGAATATATAGTGTCATTAAAAAAACACAGGTTTTTTTTTTTAAGAAAAGACCAACTTAACTAGACCTGTAATATGGAACACAGCTTCCCATACATACTTTATTTAATCATTTATTCAAATTAGACATATTCAATAAGAATTTTATATAGATTTCGATAAATTTCTGTGATAAAAATATTTTACTCAAAGATGAGCATGGTTGGATATAAACCTGTCAAACTTTTTTACAATATAAATTTTGTATTGTTATTGTACATGCATGTATAAAATATGCTGTAAAAACATAAACTGTATTAAACAACCAAAATTTGTGATTGGAAGAGTTAAAAAAAAATATAAAAATATTAAGATTAATTTTGAAAGTTTTTAATGTCATAGCTTACAAATATGTTTTCAGGAACATTTCTGGGCAACAGTGATCAGGAGAGGAAACGTCTTAGATTAGAAAGCAGGACTATATCACTATGGTAACAGCTTAGACACACTCTTCATGAAAATTTCTCTGTGACAGATGATCTAAATCTAATGGTCATATGTCTTTTACTGCTGTTTTTTAATCATTGGGTATTAGTAATTGGTCACTGGTCACTTACGGCAAAGTTGTTAATTACTGGTTTGTTGTTATCCAGGAGGCTGGTAAGGTGGAATGACTGCCAAAAAAATTTGGCCAAAAATGTGTTAAAATGAATGTTAGAAATAGACAAACAGGAGCTTAATTTTAACATCTTGTCACCAATATCAATAAAATTTACTATAAACAGTTCCAAATTCAAACCAGTGTAAGTCTGTGTCACTCATATATAGGTGGATAAGGTTACTGTGAAAGTAGTTATTTTTGCAAGAAAATAGACCTTTGCTTTTTTGGCATCATTAAATTTTCATAAAATTCTACTTTCAGTTCATGGCAATTTAGAATGTTTAATTAATTTCTGAAAACTGTTTTTAACTGGTACATAAGGAGCCTGTATGGCTGAGTGGTTAATAATTTTAATCCACTTCCCTCTCACTGCTGAATGTTTGAATCCCTTTAGAGAAATTTATTTGAGGTTGACCGTTGCTTAATCTAGCTATCTTAAATAAGGTCGGTAGCTTGACTCAATGCTAAATTTATTTGCTTGAACTATTGATTTACATTGAAGTTTATATGTTATAGGCATTTTTTTCTCTTTGTCAGTTATTTGTATTGGGTGTTAGATAAGTTATTTATTTAATTATTTTTCAGGTCATACCTTAACAGGCCTCAAGTGATAGCAGGTTATTTGAATCCCATGTATGACCCTAACCCAGCTGTTATATGGCCATCAGTGGCCCCTCAAAGCTTGGTATGTAATTTGAGTCAGATATAGTATAATACTGTTTTGAATTCAATATTTTTTTGCAGATAATTATTGTATTACATCTCTTGTCTTAGATTTATGTGCATGTGAATTCATAAAATCTTGCAGATTTTTTTCTTTAAATTTATTTTCACTTACAGTTAAATCTGTGAGCAAAGGCCATTCAAAGATGAGACCAAACATGGCCTTAGCGACAAGTGGTCTTCATTTGGAGGTTATCTTGTTTTACTTAATCAATAAAATGTTGTCTGAGAGTGGTCTTTCTTTAGTCAGAGGTTGTCTTTAACACAAGTTTGACTGTAACTTAAATTTAAGAAATTTTGCATATTTTGTTACAGTGTTTATGGAGTGGACTGTATCTAAGGTCACAGGTGAACCAGGCCAAACAAAGTGGAGGCATGGACAGAAATATCTAAGATAAGAGAGTATGACAAAGAATTGAGGTTAAAGGTCACAAAACTGCGCCGGTAAATATGAGTTTTTGTTTTAGAAAATTATTAAAAGCAAGAAAAATGAAAAGAATATTTTTATTATTGTCACTTGTTATATGTTATAATTATATCAATTAAGCTGATAAAAGTATGCTATAGAATGTTATTTGGTACAATAGAAAATCTGTCTGGGCAATGCACAATACTCTCAAAAGAGAAAAATGAACCAGTAGTAAAAGTTTATATCTCTCTTCTTGGAGTCATGAATCATGATTATAGATTAATGATCAGCAATAATCCCTATTCAGTTAGTAATTTTCCTCAAAAACTAACTTGAAAGATAGCCAGTCTTAAAATTCAACAGATTATCAGATACACCTGATGAAAGAAAATCTTAAATCTCCAAAATTCATGGTAAACATGTACCTGTACACTGATAAAAGCTGTCTGACAAGTTTTGTTATTATCAGTAGCTGTTGTAATAGGATTAACCTGTGGGTGAGGGGTAACAATTAAAAGTTGACTTTAAAATATATTTAAAGATGTGTTATTTTTCTCCAGCAGTATAAATTGGAATTATGTAATAGTTTACATATAATTACAGGCAGTTAGCGAGTCTAGAGAAAGAAGCAGTGAACTCTGGGGTTATTCTACCAGCCTCTCTAGATGCTGATGTGAAATAAGAAGAGACAAACCTAATCAAGACAGTGAAATACCCTACTAACTTAGAAAGGAAAATTGAAAAAAAAATGATTGAAATAAAGTGAAGGAGACAAAATGTGATAATGTATGATAAAAAAAGTATAATACTGATGTAATATTTGACATGGTGAAGTATAATATTTAGGTAGCCTTGCTTCTGTGTTTTCTGTTAATTTAAGATATCTGTAAAAACACGTAGAAACACACATAGTGTATTTTTCAATTAAAGATATATATACTCTGTTGTAACAGATTGGTAAAAGCACCTTTGTGATTCTATTTGGAAACAAAAAACAATTATCTTGAACTGCTACAGGAAAATTAGGTTTTATGAGAAGTTTTGAAATTTATTTAAATCCTACCAGCATTGTTTCGATCAGTTCTCATGAAGCAAAGACTGTTATAATATTTTAGGCGTTATATTTTTATGAATTATACGTTTTTAAGAGAACAGAAGGCTTATTAACTTCTATGTGCAGAAGGCTGAGCAGTGGTTTTCCTATACACTACCTTCTTATCGAAATTTACAGACACACTATTCTTTAAACTGAGCTACTTAAGCATGCTTTTTTTAAACCAATTACAAATAGTTCAATGTAGTTTATACACTTAAATTGTTAGTTGTAAATCTTTAGAAAAATGTACTAGTCTATGCCATTATAGAGTATTCCTAGTGATTTATAATTAATTTAGTAGCATTTCTGGGTAATACATCTATCTAAATTTTCAATGACAAATTTTTGTTTTATACAAAGTCTGTTATACGCAATTGTATTATTGTTATGTCACATTCCATGATTATGTTATGAAATGTTTTACTATGTATATGTATGTATATTTGTTAGAAATATATAGATACAGTATATTCCCATAATAGTGGATTCCCACCTATCAAAAAAAATTATTTTTTTCATTTTTGCTAATTTAGTATAATCTTTGTCATCATATCAAATGTGGATGATTTATTTAATTTTTTTTATTATTATTATAATTATTATTATGTTTTCTTTTATATTATAATTGTTTGTTTTTTTAGTATTTTTGAATTTATTATGTTAAATGTACATTTTTGTACATTTTGTAATTGATGTTTTGGACTCATAATGGCACAAAAACATTAGTTTTCAATTTTATACATTATGTTATGCACAAAATCATTGGTTTTCAATTTTATACATTATGTTATTCATACTTTCCTCTCCATTTATTTATCATATTTACTAACTCATAAGATTGGTTTTTACCAGTCAATGTATTTGGTAGTAACATACACCCCTGTCTTATAGGAGGACCGACTTACAGATGAGCAAATATTGTATGAAGTAAAATACACATACTATAGCTAGCATGAGCACTTTAGTATTTTATAATTTCTTTGTACTGATTCAAAGGTCTTACAAAGCTTTTTTGTAATGTCGATTATTTTACAGGACAGCCATTACAACACAGCTGCATCAGATTGATAAATAATTTTCAATTTTCATTAAAGAAAGTAGTAGAGATTTGTTTTAAATACTATAAAGTTATAAACAGATTATTGGGCCACAAATATAAAAGGTTGTTTCCAATATAGCTTTCACTTAGTGTTATGAGTTATATAAGCTTGCAACCATATTGTCTGTCAAAAATCCTTAAAACAAATTGACTAAGGTCAATTAAATAAATCTATAAATGAAAAATTTTAAGTATAGAATGAGTACATTGCTGCATTAAGACATTGTCTCTCATCATCCATTATGTGATTTTTGGTAGTGAGAATTCAGTGTTTCATGCTTTATACTGTTGACTCCTCTCTTCTTTTTGTGTATGTTTTTATAACTCTTTATTCTGTATAATCATAGACTCTCATTTCACACTCAGTACTGACAGTTGTACAATTCCCAATCAGAAGCATTTTGTTGGGTTTATTTACTCAGATAGCAATACTTTTTTCACTAAATTAACCATTAATAATTATACAAAAGCAGACCGTCCATGCCTAGTCTATAAAAGATAATTTTGAATGTTTGTTTTCTAACTTATCAGACTAAATTAATTTAGCCATAGAACTTTTAAATCTGATAATCGTTTCCTTATGTTCATGTAGGTCACATTTATAAAATGCGTTTCTCTTTGTTGACTTTTTACACTGAAACAAACATATATTCTCAATATTAACAGCTTTATGAAAATTCCTCCACAAGCATATGGTGGAATTTCTTCCTTTTGTTAATGATACGTTATTTTAGAACAGTTTATATGCTTGTTGCTTATGGTTAATCAATTTTTCTTTCCATTAGACCATTTTTCTTAGCACCTTAATTAATTGAACAATACAGGAGAAATAGCTGGTGTGCTTGGTACATTCTTTTGATTTTTACCCTTGGCTAATTTAACAGACGCTTTCAAATGTTACTTTCACAAAGCTTAATAAATTACCTCAAAGTTACTTCAAGGAAAAGTAGGAAAATCGGTTTAAGCCTAAGTGACATTGACCAATGGGTGAAAGTAACATTTGAAAGCATCTGTTATTGACATCAATATTTTTGTTAAAGATAATACTATGCTCAAATTTCATCTTTGGAAATATTTATAATTGCTACACAGTGTCTTTGTAAATATGAAATAAACATGTTTTGACTTCACACAAAGTAGATATGTTGCGTTTAAAATTCTACACACTATAGGTGGTTACAATATGAATATATAGTGTCGTAGTTGTTTTAAGAAAAGACCAACTTTATTGACCTGTAATAGGGAATGCACCTTCCAATACATAATTAATTCATTCTTTTATTCAAATTGGAAATATTTCGTAAGAATTTCATAGATTTCAGTAAATCTCTGTGATAAAAATATTTTACGCAAGGATGAGCATAGTATATCTTTAAGAATTTTATTAAGTTTTATAACCTGTAAATTAAGCATATTGCAGATAGTCTTCTATTGACTTTGGTATTGTATTTTCTTGACACAATGTTAACCTTTTTGCACTCAAAATGATCAGAATAAAACTTTGCTATTGTTTCTTGGCTAAACAATGTTATATTGTACACAATGTTATTTTATATTGTCAAATGCTGTTCAACACAGGGCTTGTGCAATATTTATGTTCCATTTCTATGCTGTGATTAAATAGGAAAAATTGTTTACAGGTTTTTTACGTCATTTTTTCTTCTTTTCTCTTCTGCCTCAAGTCGTAATAATCATAGTACTCTGCTTTAAAAAGTTATCGTGTTTTTCTGTCAAGTATATCAAATTTGTAACACACAGAATCTGATGCAAAGGATAATCAGAATAAATTCTGTTCTGTGTTGGATTTGAACTCAACTCGCCCCCATTGTAATACAAACACTTAATCACTGAACCAGGATTTGATTTTCAAACACTGTTGTCAAAGTTTGTATTGTTAGCAAAAAAAGATGGGAGTTTTTTTCTCCTCACTTAACATTTTCATTTGTAAGTAGAGTTGAATATAACCGAGCCTTGACTAAGATCAAAAGTAATATTAACATTGAGCAATATATTGGGTCAGAATGCCAGCAGTGAACAGACAGTAAATCAAGTTTATCTGAATCCTTGGAAGGGGGGGGGGGGGTGACTGGGTTTGTTTGAATACATGTAGGTTATTATACTTTCAAAACAGGGATAGTCTATTTTACGAATTCATTATGATCAGGGAAAAGTATTTTGAATTTTATATCCTGGAAACTAACATTTAAAGCAGGGTTATTAAATTTGATAAAGAGTGGGAAGGGAATATGAAAATATTATCCCTTAATCTAAGGCATTTGTGTAATGGTTAACGAGTTCAGCTTAGACACAGGAATCTATCCTGGTGTATGGGATTTATTTCAACATTGTGTTCAGATTTGAACTTGGGATATCTTCGTGTATGGGAATTTATTATCTAAATAATATATGTGTTTAAATATATAAAAAGACTTGATTTACCAATACCGGTAGTTAATCATCTAGAGAGGTTTTTCAAATATGCAATCAACCTGGCTCTTTGCAACTGAGGTTTTCCATCTTCAGGAAAGCTGGAAAGTTGCTATATGATCATAAAAGCATCTGACTTAAAACCCAACAAAAAGGAACAAATTAAACATGGCTCTATATACACTTGTATGGGGGCACAAGCCAAAACTTATCACCAATAGCATTGAATGTGTTTATAACATGTATAAGTTGGCTGGCATAACTTAAATTTACTGCATAATTGTATAGGCATCTTTATAATGCAAGATGATAAAGGAAACACATGGTTTAAAACATTTAATGAAATTATTAAAAACAATGTTTGTATATTTTATAATAAATTTATTCTTCATATGACAATTAAAATTTAAAGGAGCTCCACTGAGGTCAAAAAGACAAAAAGCATAAAATTTGAATTCAATTTCAATTAAATAACAATAAACAATATCACAAAACAAATGCATATACAGCCGAGCAAAAGGAGCTCGGAGGGCCAGTGCAAACTTGTTCGCAAGATCGGTAGTTAGAGCCAACCCAAGTTGAAGTATTATCACATATAAATAAGTATAATGTATAATATTGACAATTATTTACAACTATTTTAAAGGCCACTCAAGTTCAAAAACAACTTGTATAACTCTATCATTCTTGTACATAAGTAAATATGATCTGCTCTTCCTACAAAGTTTGAATTTGTAACATTATTAATATTCAAAAATCACAAACCTCTGTGAATTATTACAAATCAATAAATATTAAAAAAAATCAAAGAAGAAAAGATATTTGACTTTTTAAATGTAACTCTCAGGATTAAGAAAAATTTAAAGGTCAACCTTACTGTTTTTAACACTAAATAAGTATTAAAACTTCAAATTTCTAGACCTAAAAAACATCTTGTTTTGAGTTCTGTCCCAGAGAAATATCTTATTGACAATGATTGTTTACATTTAAGTGGATTGAACTACAATGGGCACATTTTCCATTAGTATTTCAAACTGTATTGTTAAAAATAAAAGAAATATATCATTTGGATATTTCTTAAAAATATTACGTGAAAGAAAAAATGTTGATAAAGGTCTTTGATTTAATATGACAATATTTATGATGAATAATAAAATTCTGTTCAAGAACAATTTATTACCTGCTATATGTATATGAATATATGTCATATCAGATCATGTATCTCACACTTCCCAACAACATTCATATATAATTCATTCATGTCTGATACTAAATACTATCCACATAATTATTTATAGTAATATATAGACTTTGATTATAGACCAAATCCTTTTAACAAAAAAAAGCAAAAACTCAATACTTTACAAAATTTGTACATATTCTGCTGGAATCCAAAATTTCACTCGTGTGAATGAAACAAAAAATAACATTATAAAAAATATTATTCTTTTTTTTATTTTTGAAGATATTTTTCTCTCTTGAAAAAAAAACTGAACAATTTCAATCGACCTTTTCCAATTTAATATTGTCTAACAGACTTTTTTTAGATAAAATCTAAATTTTTCATGTCTTTATTTGTTACACAATTAAAAGTTAATTCTGGTTTGAAGATCAATCCAATCTTATGTGAAATTGTAGACCCGGTGCAGCTTTGTACCGGAACTGTCCGGTCCACATCTGATTTTCTGTGTCTGTAAAATTGCCTTTACCCTCTAATCTGAAATAATGTTAAAATAAAGACATCAGCTTGATATCTACAAAATTCATAATGAACAGTTCCAAAAAAATTAAAGCTGGACAAGTCCATGAATCATAATTAGTCATGTACCAAAAAACAAATGAGCCGCGTCACGACAAAACCAACATAATGGGTTTGCGACCAGCATGGATCCAGACCAGCCTGCGCATCCGCGCAGTCTGATCAGGATCCATGCTGTTCGCTTACCAACTCTATTACAAGTAGAGAAACTGATAGCGAACAGCATGGATCCTGATCAGACTGCGCGGATTTGAGGCTGGTCTGTATCCATGCTGGTCGCAAACCCATTATGTTGGTTTTGTCATGACACCGCTCAAATGATGATGCCTGAATAAAATAAAGTTCATTTTACTTTAAGCTAATCAAGTAATCAGCTTTGTCACCTATATAGGTAAAACTATGGTCTATACTTTACCTATTTTCATGAAATTCTCCTTCGTAGCTGGAGCCATTGGGCCATGTATAAACTCCATGGCCGTGGAACTGGTTGTTGACAAATTCTCCTGTATAGAATGAGCCAGAATGATGTGACAATTTGCCATTTCCATTCATTTTGTCATTTGCCCATTCACCGTCATAAACACTGCCGTCAGTTGTTGTATGAACACCTTGCCCGCTTCTGATGATACTGCCATCTTCTTGAATGTATTCACCCTCTGTAATCAAGTTAAAATTAGATACATTACCATCACTAATCTTTTAAAACATTGTATGCTACATATGATAACTAAATTAACATTAAGAAAATTACTTATCTAGATGCGAGCACCCCGTGACACACAAAATGTGTGGTGATTCTTTGATATAACTTGAAAACCTTTTTAAAAAAACCCTGCCTTTAAAGACACATCTTTAAAGTATATTTACAAGGAATAGCATTGACTATTATTTACCGTATTTGTCTCCATTTGGGAACACAAAAGTTCCTGACAGAATGGCAGGTGGACCATCTTCCACTTTCTTCTGTCCTTTTTTCTCTGTAACAGACAATAGTAAAAAGAGATCATTTGAAACTGGTAGCATAATTTTATGTGGGTATAAATTCCCATCTTATTCTGGGGTACTAACAAATGTTTACAGATACAGCTTGAATGTAACAAAAATAAGTGCAATTCTTGATCACTCTATTGTGAGCAGTAGTGCATGCACCATGAAGCATTAATTTATTAAGGTAACAGTCATTTGTTTGTACCCTGGGATTAGAGGGAAATTATGCCACAAGTTTTGAGTTCTGGATAACATCCAATGAGTATAAATATAATAAAATGGTATGTGTAAAGATGTACCTTAACTATGAAAACTTGACACATACTAAACTTTTTATTTGTATCTTCTAATTTATAATTGTATGATTAATGTATATATAGCTATATATAAATAAAGTTTAAACTTGAGCACATGATATAAGTTAAAGGGTATAAATCTATATCTTTGGAAATATTTTTATAAAATTTATCAACAGTTAAATTATATTGGTTCCATTAATATATGGTTGATTCACGAATACGTTGTAACATAGAATGTCTCTGTTATTTAACACACATTAATAATGTACGTAAACATAATAAAATGTTCCGGAACAAAATATTATTTTGCTATTTTAAGTAGGATTTTATCCGTTTAGCAAATACTTTGTGCATGCGCCACTCGCTTTAAGGTAATTTATTGCCAATTTTATGTCATACAAACATTTTGGAAGTATTCTTTTTTAAAATCCAAACAAAATGTTTTTCATCAGATATATAGCTTTATACACTTTAAGCATTAAGCCTCTGAATAATAGTTACCTCTTCTAAATGATTATAATGATCTTTAGATAATAATTTGTATTTACAGAATTGTAAGTTATCATTTTATGAAATACATGTATCTTAACTCTAAGGAATAGATTAAAATCACATGTAAAATGTACAGATATTACATGAAAAGCTGTTACTCGTTAATGATATGTGAAATTTATAATACAATTGTAATACCTTTATATATATTTCTTTTAAATAAAAACTAGATTTTTGCATGAGAATTATATATATAAAAAAACAAAGATTTAATCAGTTTTTTAATGAGTGAAGATGTAAAATGAGAGCATATAATAATATTAATTTACACAAATGTCAAAAACACCACTGTTTGACCATAAAATTTTTACACATATTTCTACGGTTGTCAAAATTCTTGTTGCATTTAAATTTCATGACTAAAGAAGAAAAATATTATTTAACAATGAGTCATTTAATGGTACTTAGATGCAATAAATCATTTTATCACATAAACAAGCGTTAAAGCATGTTAATGTTAGCGTTACAATTACAATAGGTGGCTTCAATGAAAAATGGCTATTTTTTAACTGTTTATGGTTCTTATCTTATGAATAATTTAATATGACAAATAGAATATCATATTCGTGTAGATTCAATACTTAATTTATGAACTTGTTGAATAAAACAATATTATGCTCACCAGGGGCTAGCATAATATTGTTTTATTAAACTCATTCAATAAATTCAGTATTAAACCTACACTCATTTATTATCCTTCTATATAGGTAATCAACCTTAGATCAGAGAATATAATAAAGATAAACAAGAGGGCCATGATGGCCCTGAGGTCGCTCACCTGTATATAGGCCCCCCCACCCCCCCAAAAGTTGCAAGGCCAATTTAACCCAAGGGCTTTTATTTGCACAATCTTGGTAGACACCCATAAGAAGATGTTTCATGCTAGACACCCATAAAGAAGATGTTTCATGCTAAACATCTAAGCTCTAGCTCATTGGGCTTTTTAAAAGAAGATTTTTTTTAAGTTTTTACTATACACATATAGTTAAAAACAATGACACCCCTGGGGGGCCAGCTGGCCAGTTTTGACCCCAGGGCTTTTATTTGAACAAACTTTGTAGACACTTACTAGAAGATGTTTCATGCTTAATATCTAAACTCTAGCTATTTGGGTTTTTTCAAAGAAGATTTTTAGTTTTTGCTATACACATATAAAGAAAATCAATGACCCCCCGGGCGGGGCCAATTTTTCCCCAGGTCTTTTATTTGAACAAACTTTGTAGACACTCACTAAAAATTTTTCATGCTTAATATCTTTAACTCTAGCTATTTGGGTTTTTCAAAGAAGATTTTTTTAAGTTTTTGCTATACACATATAAGGAAAAATCAATGACCCCCGGGGCGGTGCCAATTTTGACCCCAGGGCTTTTATTTGAACAAACTTGGTAGACACCTATTAGAACATGTTTGATGCTAAATATCTTAGCCATAGCTCTTTGATTTCTTTAAAAGAAGATTTTTTAAGTTTTTACTATATGCATATAGGGAAAATCAATGACCCCCCGGGGCGGGGCCAATTTTAACCCCAGGGCTTTATTTGAACAAACTTGGTAGACACTTATTAGAACATGTTTTATGCTAAATATCTTAGCTCTAACTCTTTTGGATCTTTAAAAGAAGATTTTTTAAGTTTTTACTATATGCATATAGGGAAAATCAATGACCCCCTGGGGCGGGGCCAATTTTGACCCAGGGCTTTTATTTTGAACAAACTTGGTAGACACCTATTAGAACATGTTTTGATGCTAAATATCTTAGCAAATAAAGTCGTTACTTACTTACTTACTTACTTACTATATGCATATAGGGAAAAATCAATGACCCCCCGGGGCGAGCCAATTTTAACCCAGGGCTTTTATTTGAACAAACTTGGTAGACACTTATCAGAACATGTTTTATGCTAAAATATCTTAGCTCTAACTCTTTTGGATCTTTAAAAGAAGATTTTTTAAGTTTTTACTATATGCATATAGGAAAATCAAATGACCCCCTGGGGCGGGGGCAAATTTTTGACCCAGGGCTTTTATTTGAACAAACTTGGTAGACACCTATTAGAACATGTTTGATGCTCAAATATCTTTAGCTCTAACTCTTTTGGATCTTTAAAAGAAGATTTTTTAAGTTTTTACTATATGCATATAGGGAAAAAAAATCAATGACCCCCGGGGCGGGGCCAATTTTAAACCCCAGGGCTTTTATTTGAACAAACTTGGTAGACACTTATTAGAACATGTTTTATGCTAAATATTCTTAGCTCTAACTCTTTTGGATCTTTAAAAGAAGATTTTTTAAGTTTTTTACTATATGCATATAGGGAAAATCAATGACCCCCTGGGGCGGGGCCAATTTTGACCCCAGGGCTTTTATTTGAACAAAACTTGGTAGACACCTATTAGAACATGTTTGATGCTAAATATCTTAGCAAATAAAGTCGTTACTTACTTACTTACTTACTTACTATTATGCATATAGGAAAAATCAATGACCCCCCGGGGCGGAGCCCAATTTTTAACCCCAGGGCTTTTATTTGAACAAAACTTGGTAGACACTTATTAGAACATGTTGTTATGCTAAATATCTTAGCTCTAACTCTTTTGGATCTTTAAAAGAAGATTTTTTAAGTTTTTTACTATATGCATATAGGGAAAATCAATTGACCCCCTGGGGCGGGGCAAATTTTGACCCCAGGGCTTTTATTTGAACAAACTTGGTAGACACCTATTAGAACATGTTTGATGCTCAATATCTTAGCTCTAACTCTTTTGGATCTTTAAAAGAAGATTTTTTAAGTTTTTACTATATGCATATAGGGAAAAATCAATGACCCCTGGGCGGGGCCAATTTTGACCCCAGGGCTTTTATTTGAACAAACTTGCGTAGACACCTATTAGAACATGTTTGATGCTAAATATCCTTAGCAAATAAAGTCGTTACTTACTTACTTACTTACTTACTATATGCATATAGGGAAAAATCAATGACCCCCCGGGGGCGGAGCCAAATTTTAACCCAGGGCTTTAATTTGAACAAACTTGGTAGACACTTATTAGAACATGATTTATTGCTAAATATCTTAGCTCTAACTCTTTTGGATCTTTAAAGAAGATTTTTTTAAGTTTTTACTATATGCATATAGGGAAAATCAATGACCCCCTGGGGGGGCAAATTTTGACCCCAGGGCTTTTATTTGAACAAACTTGGTAGACACCTATTAGAACATGTTTTTGATGCTCAATATCTTAGCTCTAACTCTTTTGGATCTTTAAAAGAAGATTTTTTTAAGTTTTTTACTATATGCATATAGGGAAAATCAATGACCCCCTGGGGCGGGGCAAATTTTTGACCTCCAGGGCCTTTTTATTTTGAACAAACTTGGTAGACACCTATTAGAACATGTTTGATGCTCAATATCTTAGCCATAGCTCTTTGAGTTCTTTTAAAAAAAAGATTTTTTAAGTTTTTACTATATGCATATAGGGAAAATCAATGACCCCCGGGGGCGGGGCCAATTTTTGACCCCAGGCTTTTATTTGAACAAACTTGGTAGACACCCATTAGAACATGTTCATGCTAAAATCTTATACTCTAGCTCTTTGGGTTCTTAAAAGAAGATTTTTTTAAGTTTTTACTATATGCATATAGGGAAAATCTATGACCCCTGGGGCGGGGCCAATTTTGACCCCAGGGCTTTTTATTTGAACAAACTTGGTAGACACTCACTAGAAGATGTTTCATGCCCAAATATCTAAGCTCTCCCTCTTATGGTTTTTGAAAAGAAGATATTTATAGTTTTTTCTTTTCGGTTTGCCATGGCAAACCAGAGTTCTGCATGGAATTAAATTCTTTTGAACAATTTTTTAAAGGTGACCACCAAAGGAACATTCCTGTGAAGTTTGGATGAAAATTGGCTTAGTGGTTTATGAGGAGATGTCATTTAAAGTAAAAGTTTACGGACGGACGACGGACGCCGGCACGGACGCCGGACGGACGGACGCCGGACGAAAAGTCGATCACAAAAGCTCACCCTGTCACTTTGTGACAGGTGAGCTAAAAAAGTATAAATTAAAAGAATTATGATCAAACAGTAGCAGTGTGTCAGAAATACAGAATGTTATATATAATACTGCTACCATAAAAGTAATGTTAGATTATCTTATATCTGTCAGTCTGGGATTAGCCTTGACCAGGATATTGCAAAGGCTGCCGGGGTAAAAGGATCAGAAGCAGGAAAGAACAGGAAGTTTCTCTTATTTCCAACTCTTTGTATTATTATTGTAAAATCCATCTGATCTACAGAGTATCAAGACAATATATTTTGGTAACTTTATGATACTTTTATCATAATACCTCATCATACAATTTAGTTACGAATTTATAAGTAACGTAAAATAATAAATGAAACTTAAAGTTTTTGCAATTCAGATTAAAAATTGATTTATAGAATTTATTTAGATTTTGCATGATTTTAGAATAACTGATTCGCCTAAAAAAAATAATTGGGGGTTTATATATGGTTTGCAAAAAAAAAAAAAAAAAAAAAAATAGCAGATAAAGCCATGTGAGCAGTCAACCTTCAACTGTTGTGGATTATAAACTTCTTCACAAGAAAGCATCAAATCTTTGTAGACTTTGAACCAACAGCAGGTGAGGGGCAAGAGGTTTGAAGTCTGAGAGGCTGCAGTCACTTTAACTTATCAGCCATGGTGACATTCCCCAATTGGATATGAATTGATAACATCATTGTAAAAAGTTCCTTGGAATGAATTTGATTACTTGAAGCTCAATAAAAAAAGTGTTAGAGTTAGTATATGAACTACAAAATGAAAAATATAAGTATTCTATATTGTTAATCAATAATTCTAATTGCAAAACATTAAAAATGAATTATGAATACATGTTCTTATGTATATACCAAAGACAAAAAACAACACATCTTTACAGAATTTTATACAACAGACTGTTTGTTAAATAAAACACCCCAAAAGAACACTGATAGTGAAAATCATAATCTTATGCCATATTTTCATTCTAATAAAATTTAACTTATCAGATTGTTGAGATACATACATTTATATCTATCAAACCTAAAACAATGTTTGATGATGGAGTTATAACTAACTTTAAAACCACCTTTGCAGAGCAACACTCTGTGGGAGACAACTACAGTTTTGGATATTGCTGTGAGGTATTGCTCTAAAGATCTTTTATATCTATAAGTTTTGAAGTTTTATTTCGGTAAAAATTGTTACTGCATTTAGTAAAGAGACGTTATTGCTCTACAAAGGGCCTCCCTCTGCAGGGGTTGTACTTTCTACTATACTGGGCAATTTACAGTTAAGATCAAACTTAGTTCTCCGATACCAGGCTATGACACGTTACTTTAAAGATTAACCCTTAAATTTTTTTCTAAAACAAATTTTTGGTTGGGAAAAATAACACAAGTTTTTATAGTTTTTTTAAAATGGACCACTTTTTTTACTTTTAAAAAAGAAAACTTTTAGTCCCACTTTTTCGATCTTTTAAACCAGCACATATGTGTTAAAACCCCTTTCCCTCCAGTAAGTTTGCTAAAAATTTTTTAAATAAAAGGTTAAAATTATTAAAATTGGATAAAACAAAATTTTGTGATAAGTAATGAAAATTTAAAAAGGGCAACAGTTTAAAACACTTGCCCAAAAATTTCCCTTTTAATAAATATTTCAATGTAAAAATCCCGGGGAACTGTTTGGAATTTTCCAAAGGGAAAAAAAGGGGGTAGTTTTTTTGTTTTTTTTTTCAGACGATTAAAGTTTTAAAATTAAGTCATGAAAAAAGGGTTCAATTTTTCAGTTTTTTCCCTTCGTTTTAATTAAGGAAGAGACAAGGGTTTCAACAAAAAAGGAACCCACTTAAAGGGCCCCAAAACCCCAAAAAAACCCCCCGGGGCCGGAAAAAAAAAAAGAAAATTTAAAAATTCTGAAAAAAAAAATTAAAACCAACATCCCTTCCCCCATTAGTAAAAAATTTTAAGCATTGCTTTTTTGGGGTCTTTTTCGACAAAAAAAAAATTTTTAAAGATTCGGGAAAAAAGGAGAGAGAAAAGACTAAAATTTTGAACATTTTCCCCCCTTAAGGGCAAAGCCCTTTAGTCCCATCAAAAGGCAAAATTTTTTAAGCCCCGTCATCTAAAAAAAACCCCGGGGACCCTTTTAACTTTTGGGGGTCAAACTCATCAACAAATTTTGCAAGAAAAAAATTTTCCTTTTTTATTTTTTAAGTTTTACCCCCTTTAAAGACTCCCAGATACACATAAGAAATTTTAACCCAAATAATTTTTTTCATTATTTTTCATCATACAATCCAACATAAAAATATAGAAAATATATAAAACATATTACAGAAGTTTTTTAAAAACAGACAAAAATAAAACCAATATACAGGGGAAATTTAAAGGAATATAATAATATAAAAACTATCATTTAAAAAAGTAAGATATTAAATTTTTTGGGGGTTTTTTTGGCTCGGGGTTTTTTTCCATTTTAATTAAAATTTTAAATTTTGATTTAAATATCGATACATTTTTTGGTTTTTTGCATTAAAGTCTTTTTTTAACTGTTGTTTCAATCGACAGCCAAAGGGACAAAAACAGTAACAATATAACATTTTTTCTTTTCCCAAAGAAACAGAAACAATTTTTCCTGGATAGAAAACAAAAATCAAAATACCTGCTAGTCCTCGTAAGAAAAACAAACATAAAAAATTATAAAAATAATTTCTAAAACTATGTGAAAGCAAAAAACAAAATAGTGCTAAATAACATAAAACATACCCAAATTTCAATGTACTTTTAAAATTTGAAAACAAAATAATGAAACAAACCAAAAAGAAAACGTATTTTGGCCCTTTTAAAATTTTACATAAAAAAAAAAAAAAATCATTTTTTTACCATTTTTTTAAACTGGCGGCAGGAAAAAAGATAATATTCCCAAATTTAAGGTCCCCGGTCTCACGGTTTTGATTTAAAAGTGTGCAAGACATTTTAAAAACGGGAAAAAAATCAAATTTTCCCAATTGCGCACCCCATTAAAAATAAATTTAATGACTAAAATGAAAATTTAAGAATCAAATACTCAACTTTTAAACACAAAAATTTTGTTTCCCCCGGAAATTTTTAAACCAAGTTTAAATAGGGGGCCCCCAAAACCCCCCCACAAAACCGGCAAAAAAAAAAAACCAAAAAAAAACATACAAAAAAGGAAACCAAAAAAAAACCAATAAAAAAATTTTAACAAAGAAAAAAGAAAAAAAAGGGGGAAAAAAAACCAAAACCCAAAAAAAAAAAACAACCCCAACCCAACAAACCAAAAAAAAATTTTTTCTGTTTGGGGAAAACGGGACCAAAAAAAACCCAAACCCAAAACAAACAAGGACAACAAAAACCCTTTTTTCAAACCCCAAAAAAAAAAAAACAAAAACTAAAAACAAAACAAACCCACCGGAATTTTAAAAAACCCAAAAAAAAGTTAAAAAAAATAAAAAAAAAACCCAATGGGCGCACCTTTTGAAAAATTTCGGGAGCACGTAAACAAAGCTTTTTTCCCCAAATATTTTCCAAAGGGATTTATTTTTTTTTTCTTTTTTAAACAGTTTTTTATTTTTAAAAAAAAACCCCACTTTTTTTTTAATTTGGCAAAACTTTATTTTTTTAAAATTTTGTTTAAAAAAAATAAAGGGTCAAAAATCGAAACAAACCAAGGATTTTGAACGGTAAACGGGGGCATTTTGCCCCCAAAATAAAAAAATTTTCCCCCCAACTTTTTGAAACACGACGGGTGATTCAAAATTTTCGCAAAGGGGGGCACTAGCATTGCACCCTTTTAAAAAACAAAAAAACATCGCAAAAAAAGCGAAAATAAAGAGCAAATTGTTAAAATGTCACATATACCGCGCCCAAATTGATTTTTTGGGGTTCAAAGCCTGGTTAAAATTGTTTTTATTCTTAATAAAACATCCCTTAAACTGGTGCCCTTTTTCATAAAACTATTTTTTAAAAAATTCTTATATTTTAAATTGAAAGGAATCTGAAAATTTAAAGCAAAAATTCAAAAAAATTAAAATAGATCACCGTACCAGTGCCAACCATTTTTTAAACAAAATCAAAAAAATCTTTCAGAAAAAGGTTTGGGAAATTTATTTTTGAAAAAGCTGGCCCTTTTCCAAACTCCAATAAGCTAAAGCGTTTTAAAAAACCCCGATTAGGATAAAATTTTTAACCACGGATTTGGATATGGGTAAAAACCCAAAATTTTTTTCAGACAAAAAACCCAGTGCCGCCCAGGGGGTTTTACCCAACCCTTTTTATTTTTTAAAAACAGATATGATTTTTTATTTTAAAAAATTCTTTAAAAAAAATTTTTTAAAACATTTTTTTTTTTCTATAATAAAATAAAATAGAAAAATAATACAAAGGAATTTTAAAACAGACAAATAAAGTTTTTTAAAGATTTTGGGAAATTTCATATAGGGGGCTTTGAATTACTTTTTCTCTTTTTTTTTTTATTAAAATCACTCTGCAAACTAGTTAAGTGGAAAATTTGGTGTAAAAAAAAACCCCAAACCGTTTTAGTGGTTTTTCCCCGTTTTTTCCCGAGGGAAATCCCAATTTTTTTAACATTTTCATACCCCTTCCCTTTTTAGGGAAAGCAGGGTTTTAAATAATTTTTGAACACCTTTCCTATGGAAAAAATTTGGGAATCATAAAAGAAAAGGGAAATTTTTAACAAATAGCCACATTCCCCAAAATTTATCTTTTTTTCATTTTTTTAAGTTTATTTTCCCCCTGCACTTTTTTTAAAAATTTGTTTTTTGAAACCCTTTTTAATATTGCCGCAAAAATGCCTATTTCAACCAAATTTGGGTATTTTGTACAGGGTTAAAGGGGGACAGGCGGGTAAAAGAGAACACAAACCCCACGGGTTTTTTTTCCACTTTAAATGCTTTTAAATCAACAAATAAAAATAGGGTGAGAAACGGGGGCCGGTCAGCATGGGTTGTGCCAAAGGGTAAATTGCCCGGGTTTTTCATAAGAATCACGGGATTTGACCCCAAAAAAAATTTGAAAAAAAAAGGGGCAAATATAACCTTTTTACTAAAGGGATAAAAAGGAACAATGCTTTTTAAAGAAACACAACTCCTTGCCATTTTTGACAAAAATTTTTTAATCAATTTACTTTAAAATAAATTTTTAAACTTTTAAAAACCCTTTTTAGCCTTTTTAAATAAAAACAATAAAAAATTAAATTTTTTACAACCACGATTTTTTAAACCCAAAACACCTAAAATTTAAGTTTTAGTATTTGGGATTTAGCCAAAATTTAAGAAACAAAGGTAAAAAATTTTTTTCCAATAAAAAACCTAGAAAACCCATTTTTCGGGAATTTTCTGTACTTTCCAAACATTTTAATTTGGGGAATTTCATTTAAATGAGTGTAAAAGCGAAAATTTTTTGATTTTTTTTTTAAAAAAAATAAAATATATTGTACAAATAAGCCCAAAGAAAAAAAAAGTAAATACACAATTTAAATACAGAAAAAACTATTTAAAGGGCGGGCAATAACTTTGTTTACTAAAAACTTTTTTAAATTTTATAGTTTTTTAAATTTAAATAGTTTCCCCAAAAAAAAGGCCCTTTTCCCAAATTTAAAATTTTCTTTAAAGCTCATTTCCCCCAAAAATTTTAACCCTTTTAAATATTTTTTTTACCCCCCCAAATCAAAAATTTTTAGCCATAATTTCCCCCAAAAATCAAGAGGCAAGGCCTTTCCCCCAAAATTAAGTTGGAAAAACCCCGCAGAAATTTAAAATTAGCACAATTTTGGGAAGGTGATTTTTTTCCCAAGGGAATTTTGTCACAAAAAGGGGTTTTCTTTAAAAAAGGAAATAAAAAAAATTTTTTTTTTCTAGCGAAGCAGGCCACAACGAAAATTTTCCAGTTTTCCCCTTTTCCTGTATGAAATTAGATTTAGCTTTCCCTTGGGAAATTGAGTGGGGATTAAAACCCAAAAGTAAAATTTTCCCGCTGTAGCCAGGGGGGGGAATGTTTTTATAACCAACCGGGGGGCTTACAATCTAAATATTAATTTTTTTATTTGTCTCAATGGGAAATAAAAAAAAATTTTTTATTAAATTTGGATGAAACGGGCCCTTTTTGTTACTTTAAAATTATTTTTTTCCGCCAGTTCCCAGTGTTTTAAATTTGCAAAAAAGAGTAGCCCATGGATATCACAAAAAAAGATTTTTTTCAGGTAATTTACTAAAGGGTTGTATTTTTGTCAAAAAAACATCGGGTCACTTTGTTTTCCTAAAAAGGCCAATTTTTTTTCCTTGAAAATAAAAAACAAATGGGAAAAAAACCAGAAAAAACAAAAAAATAGAGAGCAGAAAATAAAATAAACGGCCCATTTTTTAAAGAAAGCTTTGGAAAAAAAGAAGATGAGATAAAAATTGATAGGCCTTTTTAAACAAAAATTATGTTGCCCTTTAAAAAATAAAAATTTTGAGTTTTCTTTTCAATTTTTTTAAAAGCAGTTTTGTGCGTTTTTTGGAAATCATGAAAATTTATATAGAAATTTATGTAACCCGTCATTTAGAAGAAACTCATTTTTTCCCCTAAAAAAGGAATTTTGCTGTTTTAAAAAATAGCTGCCAGGAACATCAAAAAAAGTTTTAGCATATAACCTTTTTAAAAATAATCATTTAAAGGGCCATAAAACCCCCAAAAATTTTTAAAACTAATAAATAAAACACACACAAAATTTTTACAGTTTTTTGCTTTTTAAAGGGAAAAAAATCTTAACAAAAATTCTTTGCTATTTTCCCGGAACTTTACAATTTTAAAAAGGACTTTTAAATGAAAATACATGTTTAATTTTTACAATAAATAGGGAATTTTTTAATGGGGGGTTTAAATGTTCGGGAAAAAAAAACATTTGGGGGGGTTTTTGCCCAAAAAAGAGGGTGGTAAACCAGGGATTTTTTATTTTCTAAAATTTAATACTTTATAACCCCTTTTATTGATTTAAAATAACATACGGTTAAAATAAAAAAAAGGGAAAACTTACACATAACAAAACTTGTGGGAATTTTGGTGTTTTAAACCCACCCAAAATACATGCAGTTTTGGAAAAAGGGTCAAAAGGGCTAGTTTTCCTTTTTTTTAACCCAATTTTCAATAAAATTTAAAATGAAATTTCAACGTTTTTTAAAAATAAAAAGAATAAAACGTGGGGGTGAAAATATATCATTTCAGATGTACCTGCCCCTTTTTTAAAGAAACACTGCCAGCATTACGCCTACAGGGAAAGGGGAACAATCTTTAAAGGGCAAAGAAGAAGGGTAAAAAGGGTTTTCCCGAGGGTGTTTTATTGGCCGAATTAAACTGCAAAGCCACCAGGGGTTTAAATCCTCAGGGGAAGGGGCCCTAGAAAGGGATTTTCATCCAAAGGGCCCAAAAGATTTTCCCTTTGGGAAGGTTGGTCTTTTTTAAATTTTGTTTACAAAAAAATTTTAATTTTACACGCGAATTTTTTTTTTAGAGGGAGATAAATTTTAAAGACATTTTTTGGGTAAAAATTTTACACATGTGAAAATGTTTTTGAGTTTTTTAAAGGAAAATGGGGTACCCAAACCTTTTTAAAATTGATACTTTCCCAAAAAATATCAGAACCCAGCCCCTCAAAATTCAAGACTTTTTTGGAACCCTTTAAAAATCCATTTTTCCTTTTAAAAGGCAAAGCTTTAAAATGTTAAAACCCAGGTTTGTAAATAAATTTTTTTTTCCCATTTTTAAAATTTGAAGGGCACGTGGGTTTTTAAAACTTTAAAACCACTTTTGGGTTTTCCTAATTTTTAAGACCCTAAATTGAATTTAAATGCTCTTAATGAAACCCTAAAAACCCTTTAAAAATCTCTTGTTTGGGTTTTTAAATTTTTTTTAAAAAACCCTTTGGAAATTTTGTCTTTAAGTAAATTAAGGAAAAAGAAATTTTAATTTTTTAGTTGCTTTTATAATAGTAGCGGATAAAAAATTGCTGCTTTTAAAGACAAATGTACCAACCTTTGATGATTCCAAAGGGGGGCAAAGGGGGGAGACAGCCCCTCCCCCTCCCCCCCCCCAACCTCCAGTAGCTGCCCCCCTCCTAACCAGCCACCCCCACCCCAAGCACCATCTATCCGGGCTCCACCCCCCCACCAAACTGCATCAAGGGGACCCCCCATTTTTTCCACCCCCTTACCCCAAGGGACCCCCGGGGGCTAAAAAAGGGAGTCGTTTTAAGGGTGAAGAAAATTTTCATGTATAAAGGGCTTCTTTTGATTTTAGGCTAAATTTTTTTATTGTGGATTTTATATTTAAAACCAACAAATTGAAATAAGTCGTATAAATATTTTTTTTAAGGGGGCCTCCTCTGTAGTAGAATGTCATGATTTCAGTCACGATTTCTATTTTATTTTAAAATTAAGTAGTTTTTAAACCTCTAAAAAACCTTGATTATTTCTTTTAGGAATTTCCTTTGTCTACTTGAAATTTAAATTTTTGTTCTTCACATTTTCCCCATTTTTCTAGGACTGAAAAAGTGCAAGGGTTTTACATGTGGGCCCTCCAGAAAAACAGTTTTTTTATAAAAACAAATAATCAATTTTTTTGTTTAAAAAACCAAAATTCCCTGAAAAAGCAACAACATGAAACAATAACGTTAAAAGCAATTGTTTTTTCCCACTAAATTTTTCAGTTTTAAATTTGATATTTTGGGTGAATGAATCCTATAAAAGAATAAAATAAAATAAAAATACACTTTTACTTTTTATAGAAAAAAATTTCCCAAATTTTTAAACTGTTTAGAGTGTCACGTGACCATTAGGTTTTTCCCGGCCCCGGGGGCCCCGAGAATTTTTTTATCAGCCCGCAAAAAATTTTCAGTGCAAAAAACGGGAAAACAATACGCATTTTTTGTCATAAAAACCCATTAACGAAAAAAGGGAAAAGATTTTCGCACGAACGTTTTTTTTTTTATTGTGAGAGTTAACATTTTTAGAAACCAAAAAAATTTTTTGGTTACTTTTGGGAAAATTTTGAAGAAAAATACGAAAAATTTTCTTTCCGAAAAAAAAATGAAAAAAAAAAGCTTCTAGATTTACTGCTGTAAACCCAAAAACAAAACATCTCGGAAAAACGGGAAATGAGACAAAAATTTCCCCAACAAAAAAACCCAAAAAAAGTATTTTTTGTTTTTTTTGTTTTTTTTTTAAATCACTTTTAATCAAACCAAAAAGGTATTAAGACAAATACCCCGGGGAAGTGGGGGCCGGGAAAAGGGAAATTTGGGCCCAAAAATGAAATAACCCCTAAAGGCTAGTGTTAGAGATCTGTTCTCTCCACCTGAAAAACGTTTTTCCATAGGTAGTGTAAATGTGGTATTATTTACTGGACATGAAAAACACTGTGACAATATGAAATTAAGAGAGTGAACTGATTTTAGTGTAGATATATTGGATGAGACTTAAAGTTAAAACCAGCATGGTGTCTGTGCTCACTGAAGAACTAGTGGTCACTTTTAGAATGAAAGATCTGTGTTTTCCCATGAAAAAATTCAAAAATTTTTCAAAAACTTGCCCGTCCACATTTGGGCTGTGAAATTCAACATAAGGGTTTTTCCTGATGATAAAAGTAATAAAATTTCCCTGAATTTTAAAAAACATTTTTAAAAGGCATTTAATTTTATTGTTTTCAAACAATAGCAAAGGGAGGTTAACGGAGCCCAAAACAGACTTAACCCAAATTTTTAACCTTACAAATTTTGATGTCACAGATAAAACACTAGGGTGAGTTTTTTGCTTTTATATTACCTGGATATTTTGACTAACTACAAAGTTTTTTTCCCCCGGGTTTTTTGGAAAAAAGACCTATCCCCAATTAAAATTAAAAATTTTCGGGCAAGTGTTTTTTTAAAAATTTGGGGAAAAATTTCATGACGGGAAAATTGAAAGTGTTTAAATGAGTGCCAACAATTACTGTCTAGGATGGCATCTTCAAAAATTCAAGCACCATAACAGTGATTAAGTCCTTATTTTCAAAGATTTTAGAAAAAAAATTTTCAATACTTTTATTTTTTAAGTTCCAATTGGGAATTTTTTCCTGTGGATTGGGAAAATAATATACTATTTTCAATTGGGAATATGACCCAATAATGGCTATAAAATACGCCCAAAAAAAAATCCCTCAACTAATTTTTTATGTTTGTTGGCTTTTAGTATAGTTTTAGTGTGGAAAAATAAATCTTTTTATCTTAACTCATCTTGATATCCCCAAAATTGATAATGGACAGTTCCATTACTGAAAGCTGGACAATTCTATGTAAAGCTGCAGATGAGCCAAATTATTTCAAGAAAATCATTCTTGTGAAAAATGTACTAAGAGATTAAGAAAAGTAAAATTATTCACTATTCAAGAAATAATTCACTTGTTATTTGCAATTACTGACTGATTTTTCAGTATTTATCATCATACTCTACTGCGTAACTAACACTGTAAGGGATATTTTCGCATATTCTGACAAATTTTTGGATGTTTTCATAGATTTAAAGTGTCATTTGCAATGTGTAAATTACAATCTTTGTTTACTCTGTTTGACTTAACTTTTGAATACATTTTAAAAAATTTCATGAAAATTAGCATGAATCTGGAGGCCTGCTGCTGTTACACATTTCACAGGTAAAGGATAAGATGACATGAGAGTATGGCTTTAATAGTTTTCTATGTATTTTATTTCAGATTAAGAAAAGAACTAAATAGTTTATTAGCTAAAGATAACAAAAAAATCTCTGTGAATGATTTCATCATAAAAGCATCGGCGTTAGCGTGTAAGCAGATACCTGAGGCTAATTCATCATGGCAGGATAGTTTTGTTAGGCAGTAAGTAAATTCAGTGAAACCTGTATCTTATCTATATCAGGCTAGGAGCTGCAGCTGGTGCTTAAATATTTGAATCTAACATTTGCTGCAAATACAGACTGTGATTTCCAGCTTGAGAGTTACCTTTAAAGGCTATTACAGTTGATTTAAAGTTGGAGATTTCCTTCTGTGTCAGCTCATAGCCTAACATACTTAAAAAGGCTTTGTCTGTAAAGGAAATCAACTCGCACATTATGTGACAATAACCAAAATTTAATATAACTGTTCTCATCCAGTTTGATTTTTTTTTCTGGCTGGGAATAAATGTTGAGTAATTGCAAAAAAAGATATTATGCAATTTGGAATACAACTTCATGTCGTCTCCAGAATGAAATCATGTTTAAAATGGGCATAAAAAAAGTCATAAATACATTAAACTGAAGTGTCAATGTTGCCCTGGATCAAGCAACTGTTGTGCATTTACTGTGGTTATAATTCATGTATATAAGGTGGTAATAACAAAAATTATCATCAGAATATAGCTGATATACAAAAAGTCCACAAATATCACCTTGAAATCTTGTTCATAGAAAAAGAAACTGAATATTAGTGTTACAAATTTAACACAGAGAATAATCAATCTTTTATGTCTGGGACTTTGAAAATCCACCGGGAGTCACGCTGTTTGTGATTCCAAGATGGTCCTGATATCTTGTATATTTTATCTGTACTGTGTATCATATTAAACTGTCATCCCTATGTTGTTATTTTTCTATGTGCCTGAGTGATAAAATACTGTTGTTATTATTATTTTGTTGAATGTTTATTTGAATTAAAAAAAAGGAGACTTTCTTTCATTTAGATTTACATGTACTAAGATTTCAGCAGTACTTACTACTTTAGTTACTTTATTTTATACCTATATTTCAGATATAATACAGTTGATATAAATGTTGCCGTGGCAACAGATTCTGGGCTTATCACACCTATAGTTTTTAGAGCCGATCTAAAGGTAGGCATTATATGCTTTTATTTAAATTGTTGTTAAATAAAAACACAATAATCACACTTGGAAACAAACTAAACAGATATCTTCAATCATTGTTAGCTTGACTATTTTCAAATAATTCTTCAATATTCTTCCTCTTAATGTTTTTGATTAGGAAAAAAATATAAAGTCAAGTGTAGCTACGTTTGGCAAAAAGAGACACATTGCCAAGTGGGTAACCAAGGCTCTCTGTCCTGGGGGGAAACTATACTTGTAGAAATGGAAATTGTCATGTCCTTTTCCCTTATTTGGGGAATTAAGGCAATTTTTACTGCATATACATACAGTATTTGTCCTCGGATATAATCATGTGAAATGTTATATGTTACAGGGTCTTGCACAGATTGGTGAAGATGTAGGAATGTTGGCAGCTAAAGCCAGAGATGGCAAATTACAACCACATGAATTCCAAGTAAGTTGTCTATGAATTTAGCACTTTTTTGTCCCTGAGGAACATTGATTTGGGGCCAGGGTAAGCGTATAAAAGTTGTTTCGCTAAGTAGAGCTGTCATTGATTCAGTGCAAAGCATATCAACGATATATCGATATCAAGTAACTAAAATCAACAATAAACCGATATATCGATAATATCCTTTACTCACTTGTCTGTCATTCATTTTCATACCTGTTTCAGTGATTTCAGTCAAAAACATGTTCTGTACAGTGTCTTGTCCACTGCATGATTTGTTCTAGACAATATTTTTTGTCACCATTGCTATGAAATAATTCCACTATATAACAAAAGCATCACATTTGATATAAATAATTGTTTCTGCATATATTTTGGGTGAATTGTATAATTTCTAGACATTTAATTTATAAGTCAAAAGTATCGATTTTTAAAATGTGTATCGATTATTGATCGACAAAAAAAATATCATCGATATTGTCGATATCGATGACAGCTCTATCGCTAAGTGAATTAAATGTATTCCATGCTATAGTTGCGGCTTGTCAGATTGTAAATTATGTGTTACAGTTGTTTTTTGGTTTACATAGCTTGTATAATAATAATAAGTTATAAATAACTTGTTGCACATGAATTTGAGTTGTTATAGGTAAAACATGTATCTATTATACTGGGGCAGCTTTAGATACTGCCTTGTCAGCAAATTACAACCACATGAATTCCAAGTAAGTTTTCTGTGTAGTTTCCTCTTTTTGTTCTGAGGTACATTGTTGAGGGCAAGGGTAAGCAAATAAAGTTTTTCGATAAGTGACTAAAATGTACTTTGATAGTTACGGTTTGTCAGATTGTGCATAATATGTTGCATCCGTCCGTCTGTCTATCCGTCCGTCCATCTGTCCGTCCGTCCGTTAGCAATTTGGTTTCCGGAGCATAACTTAAGTTCCATTTGGCCCACAACATTCAAACTTCATAGGATGATTGTCCATATTGAGTAGAAGACCCCTATTGATTTTGGGGTCACAAGGTCAAAGGTCAAGGTCACTATGACCCTAAAACTGAAAACAGTTTCCGGAGCATAACTTAAGTTCTATTTGGCCCACAGTGTTCAAACTTCATAGGATGATTGTCCATATTGGGTAGAAGACTCCTATTGATTTTGGGGTCACAAGGTCAAAGGTCAAGGTCACTATGACCTTAAAACTGAAAACAGTTTCCGCAGCATAACTGAAGTTCCATTTGGCCGCCAGTGTTCAAACTTCATAGGATGATTGTCCATTTTGGGTAGAAGACCCCTATTGATTTTGGGGTCACAAGGTCAAAGATCAAGGTCACTATGACCTTAAAACTGAAAACAGTTTCCGGAGCATAACTTAAGTTCCATTTGGCCGACAGTGTTCAAACTTCATAGGATGATTGTCCATATTGGGTAGAAGACCCCTATTGATTTTGGGGTCACAAGGTCAAAGGTCAAGGTCACTATGACCTTAAAACTGAAAACAGTTTCCGGAGCATAACTTAAGTTCCATTTGCCCGACAGTGTTCAAACTTCATAGGATGATTGTCCATATTGGGTAGAAGACCCCTATTGATTTTGGGGTCACAAGGTAAAAGGTCAAGGTCACTATGACCTTAAAACTGAAAACAGTTTCTGGAACATAACTTAAGTTACATTTGGCTGACAGTGTTCAAACTTCATAGGATGATTGTCCATATTGGGTAGGAGACCCCTATTGATTTTGGGGTCACAAGGTCAAAGGTCAAGGTCACTATTACTTTAAAACTGAAAACAGTTTCCAGAGCATAACTTAAGGTCTATTTGTCCCACAATATTCAAACTTCAGAGGATGATTGTCCATATTGGGTAGGAGACCCCTATTGATTTTGGGGTCACAAGGTCAAAGGTCAAGGTCACTATTACTTTAAAAACTGAAAAAAGTTTCCAGAACATAACTTACTTTCTATTTGGCCCATAGTGTTGAAACTTCATAGGATGATTGTCCATATTGGGTAGAAGACCCTATTGATTTTGGGGTCACACGGTCAAAGTTCAAGGTAGCTATTACCTCAAAACTAAAAACAGTTTCCAGAGCATAACTGAAGTTCCATTTGGCCCACAATATTCAAACTTTATAGGAGGATTGATATTTGAAGGAGGTAATACTTTATTTAATTTATGTAATGTCTTACAAATGCTTCATCCTTAGAAAAGAAAAAAAACACTTTCGGGCATATAATGCTCCGCCTAGCGGTGCTTTTGTTACTTTTTGTTTTCTTATCACTGTAATATGACATTATTTGATTGTTGCAGGGTGGTACATTTACAATCTCTAACCTGGGTATGTTTGGTATAAAGTCATTCTCAGCAGTTATCAATCCACCACAGGCGTGTATTCTGGCAGTAGGTGGGGCTGAAAAGAGATTAGTCGTTGATGAGGACAGTAGCTCAGGGTAAGTTAAAATATTTAGAAAAGGAGGACTGTTACATACATACTGAGGACAAGTTCCAAACATTTTTTTTTTTTTTGAAGAAGAAGAAGAACGTGCATGCAGTGATTTTTTTTCAATTTTCAAAACAACCTGTGGCTTTCTGAAGAGGAAAATATAGCGCGATAAATCAGAAAAGGGGAAAATCAAATTCTAACAACTGAGAATGGTTTACCTACACATGTTTCAGAATATTCTACTTCAATTCAATTTAACATCCATGATACATGCAGGGGCTATCTGTAGGGACAGCGTTCTGTCTTAAGCTGATATAAGTCAGCTGCTGTTAAGTCATGGCTCTAGTGAAAAATGTGCAAAGGGCATTTTAGGGGAAAAATAGTAGCATTTTTAGGGGAAAATGTACCTATTTAGGGCTAGGGGAAACAGCCTTTATTCAGCTGTAAAATGCAGGAAAAAAAATCACTGGCATGATTATTCTATATCCTTAATCTGTTTCTTAGTATTTTTGTACCATGTGACAGCTCAATGTATTTCCTTTATTGGACACTGTAGTATCCAGTATGTCCCATAGTTGATAGTTAAGTGCATTTGATTTGTGAGCCTTGCCTTCTTTACAGTCTAATCAGACTTTTTACTGTTGGGTAACCAAACTTCAGAATTTTGATACCGAAATCACTTAAAACTACATTTGACTGTTCCAAAGTCATAGCAGGGCAAATCCATTTTACAAAACAAGGTTTGTAAGGGTAAAATACTTTTTCCAGGAAGTGGATTTGAAGAAAGTTTTCACACCTTACAAACTAAAATGAGTATTTTGAACAATTTGCAAGTTTGTGTATGTTTTATTTTACAGTTTCACGGAGGCGACAGTGATGTCAGTAACATTGAGTTGTGACCATCGGGTGGTAGATGGCGCTGTAGGTGCCAAGTGGCTAGCTGAGTTCCGTAAATATCTCGAAAACCCATCAACAATGTTGTTATGAGGAAAATTATCTCAGAGTTTTAGATTTTCTACGTTAGAAAATGTTTTTAATATTTATAGACGGGCCTTGCATAGAAAGTGCTACAGACAGTGCTAAGGTTCTATGCAGTTTGACTTTTCTGATTTAATTCTTGTTCTAATTTATGTATGTTCCAGTGGTAATTATGGAAAGTCGAGAGTCAAGTGCTCTCTGTAAATTGTAAAATTGACCGTTATAATTAAGAATAGCCAAAGGTAGAGCAGCCCTGTGTGATTTTTAAAAGCATTTTTATTTTTAATGGTTTAGCAAATGCAGAGAGGAATAAATTCTGTGACGGCAAGGAATTTTGATGTTTCAGCTCTCTACTCAAAATAATTCTGAATTCCAATTTGACTTTTGCTGCATTTTATTACAAATGATACTACATGCATTGGCAAATTTATATTTAAATTGAAAAGTCACACTGAATTCAACTATGCATATAAAAGTTTTTAATGGAAAACTTTGTCAAAAAATGTTCTGCTGAGTGAAAAAGTGGAAAATAGACAGGATGAACCCATTTGTTTTTATATAGAGATGTTACGTAGTTATGTGTTACTATAGATAGAGAACAAATTCTTTTTATTGGTTATCCTATTTTATGGTACATTATTTATTTTTCATAAAATCTGGAATGAAAATCAGTTCTGTTGTGTTATTTGTTAGTTCTAAGATGTATTTGTTGAAATAAGTAGCATCTTTTTATGTGTTAAGATGTGACAGCTGACTGATCAATTACCAAAATCTAGCCTTACATAGATAAATTTAAACATTGCAATATTTGCATGAGTTGAATTGATATATTTAAGAAATCTTGTGTGGGCTCTTCCTGATCAAGTGGTTAGGGTAGCTGAATTCTCATCACCTGCCCTCAGCCCTATGGGTTCAAATCCTGCTGAGGACTTAAGATTATTCATACTAGAAAGCTATCCAGCTTGTTAATGAAAGGTGAGTTCATGCTAATGAACAAGGGAGCATTTGTGGTCTTCCTCCTCCAGTAAAGATAGAAAGTCCTCAAGGTGCGGGTAGGACTTAAAGTGGATTGGTCTACAATGGGCAGATTTTCAGTAAATATTTCAAATATTGATAAAAACAATAGAAATGTATCATTTGGATATCCTACTGAAATATTACCTTTAAATGATATTAAAAGAGTTCCAATTAATTTAGTATGAACATATATGTATGTGATACTGTATATGTGCATATTAATGCGTCACAAAAATTTCAATTGGTAAAAATCGCAAATATGTCAATGTCGCTAAATTAACCACTTACAATGTATACAGAATATAACAACTTTTTGAACTAGAACCAAATTATTATCAATTCTGCTATATATAAATACTTGTATGTTATATTGAATCATGCATCTCACACTTGCCAACAACATTCATAAATAATTCTTTCGTGGTTTGTGGTTATGTATGATACTAAATACTATCAACATAATTATTAATGGTATTTCATACCTTCCATTATAGACAAATCCACTTTAAAACTCAATCAGGCAACATAATTTGTTTACAGTGAAAACAAAATTGAAAAATTACTTGAGAAAAAGAAACAAATAGGGTTTTCAGTTAATGAAAATAGATATAGTTAGAGGTAGATTGTTTTAGTGAGTACTTGCAAGTTATTTTGTAGTTTTTGTTAAAGAAATTTTTTGTAAAACTTTAATATCAAAATTTATGCAACATGACATATATGTAGGCTTGAGTAAAATTTTTGTGATGAGGCATTGGTGAGTGTGTTGAGAAATATAAATAGGTATGAAATATGTGTTAAACATTTGAATTGAAGATTATTTTAAAACTTTCTTCACATATTGTACATGTACATTTTGTATATAAAATGCTGACTTTGTAATTTGTCAAATGTTAATGAGAAAATTTAGTTACTATGGTTACACTATCTGTTGTTATACTTAATTATCTATTACAGTAAACACTTTTGTACACAGGTGCCCGCTCGTGTCTGTGTTCAGGCCCTTAGTTAGAGATACAGGAGATGATATTGATCCAGTAAAGCTGGAAAGTCACCATATTACATGAAAAGTTGTCTGTGTGACTTAGCCCAAAATAAAATGAACTTTTCAGTATATATTTTAGTCATTATTTGGACATGCATTATTTACTCAAAGACTTCCAGATTAACATTTAATGTTTTAAGAATTTTTAACAACAATTATTTATTCACAAATTAATTTATTTATTAACATTGACAAATAAGTTAATCTGTATGTATAGTCTTAATAAATGCTATTCGGTACTTTCATTTTCTAACGTGACACATTGAATTTGTAATTTAAGCCAGCCTCATGTGAATAGAACATAAAGCATTTGTTCTTTTGTTGTGTCCGTCTTCTAGAGGGGCACTTAAGGACCTAAACTGCTGGAACTTCGGCTGTAATGTGCCATTTGTTAAGATATGTCCAGATAACTAATATAGCACCAGTTTTGTCCCTTTGTTGAAGGCTGAATTTGGAACTAATTTTTGAGGGCAAAGATAATGTTAAATACAAACCTGTATTATAATAATAGAAATTAATGTGCAAGTCAGCCATTTTGACAGAAAAAGTTAAAGAACCCTAACTTAATTTTAAGACACTGTGCAATAGATATATAAGACAATGATATATAAAAGAATGTTAACAGTATTTCAAATGACCTTTATTTTGATAAAATTATAGAAAGTACTTGTTTGAAAGAATACAAGATGTTAGTTTAGTTGTTAGGTAGAAATAGAGTGATGTTTTTGTGACAAGTTCACAAGTCACCATTTCAAATACAAGCAGTGAAAGGTTCTTCATCTATGCTTCTTGTATAGATCCAGGCCAGCCAAAAATTAAGTGTTGTCTTCTTACCTGGCACTAGGCTGATAGCTACTAAATCTTTGTATTTTATTTAAAAAAGAGAGGAAGAATCTTGAAATGCTTATAAACTGCAAGGCAAGGCTATTGCACAATTTCAGCAGCTTAAGGGTTAACATAAAATGGAATTATAAAACTTATTATATGAATTCCTTAAAACTGTAACTAGTATTCAGTTCCAATGGGGCATCAAGGGCACAGGATCAAGATCATTGACGTCAAACCACTTCCTCCTTTCCACTGTGGATTTGAATCCAGCCAGGAACTTTGGCTATCCATCTAGCTTAAGAAATCTCAGTGGTTTATACTTTGCATGGAGGGCCCCTGAGGTCTTCCTCTGCCAGTAAAGTCACGGTATGACCTCTATTGTATAATACTATTGCTGCGATGTAAAACACCACCAAAAACAAAAAAAAGCCTTTGCAAGGTAGACAAGGTAGTAAGGAAGCAATAAGTGCTATATTAAAGAGCCAAATACAAGTTTGAGATTATGATTTTTTGAATGTGACATTTTTACTAATTATGCTCACATTTTTAGCTCGACTATTCGAAGAATATGAGAGCTATTGTAGTCGCCCCGGCGTCGGCGTCGGCGTCCGCGTCCGCGTCGGCGTCTGCGTTGGTTAAAGTTTTTTGTAAAGTCAAATATCTCAATTATTGCTTGAGATATTCAATTGAAACTTACAATACTTATTTATAGTAACAAGGTACATCAGATTGACAAGTTGGATAACTCTACCTACAATATTGACAGAATTATGCCCCTTTTTAACTTAGAAATTTTGGTTAAAGTTTTTTGTAAAGACAAATATCTCAATTATTGTTTGAGATATTCAATTGAAACTTACAATACTTATTTATAGTAATAAGGTACATCAGATTGACAAGTAGGATAACTCTGCCTATAATATTGACATAATTATGCCCCTTTTTAACTTAGAAATTTTGGTTAAAGTTTTTGTAAAGTCAAATATCTCAATTATTGTTTGAGATATTCAATTGAAACTTACAATACTTATTTATAGTAACAAGGTACATCAGATTGACAAGTTGGATAACTCTGCCTACAATATTGACAGAATTATGCCCCATTGCAAACTTAGAAATTTTGGTTAAAGTTTTTTTGTAAAGTCAAATATCTCAATTATTGCTTGAGATATTCAATTGAAATTTACAATACTTTTTTTATAGTAACAATGTACATCATTTTGCAAAATTGCATTTCTGTCTGCAATATTTGCAGAATTATTTGCCCCTTTGAAACTTAGAGATTTTGGTTAAAGGTTAAAGGTCTTCAAAGATGTTTACTTGAAACTTTACACATGTACTTAGGGTCATAATTTGAGGGTCATAATTGTATGTCACTGACCAAGTTCCATAACTCTATCTTGCATTAAGGCTGATTCATATCCCCTTTTCTACTTAGTCTCTTGGTTAATGTTTAAATGCAAGTTTTACATATCTGAATAACTATTAAAGATATTTATTTAAAACTTCACATATGCATTTAGGGTCAGAATTGTAGGTCACTGACAAAGATCCATAATTCTATCTTGCATTTAGGCTGATTTTTCTTCCCGTTTTCAACTTAAAAAATTCATGGTAAAGTTTTGCTTCTAAGTTGTTATCTCCATAACTACTGAAGGGTTTGTGCCTTTTTTGGGACAATTTTATATTTTATAAAAAAAAATTAGCCCTTTTGTGAACTTAGAATATTTAACATTATTAAGGCTCTTTTACTGTCAAGCACTTAGAATAGTCGAGCGTGCTGTCCTACCGACAGCTCTTGTTATATATATACTAAGCACAGGTGTTTGACATCTAATATCCCCCATCATACATTCTTCTATAATAAACATAAGTTGGGTTGATTATATATACTGGTAGGGGTATGGGGTATGTGTTAGATAGTGGGGGGGGGGGGTTTACCTGTAATGCTAAGTAGATTATTAAAATTAGTTTAATTAACCAAAATTATCTTATTATAATCATAATATACAGGTTGGTTTTTTGGGGTTTTTTTTTTCACGAATGGATAGTATTTGTCCAAGTTAAGTTATACATGTAAAGAGTATGAAGTGAAAAATAAAGTGGAAAGAGAGTGTAATTATATAACTTGAATGGAATGTAATGATGCTTTAAAACTCATCATTAACTAAATCTTTTTTTGTTTTTCCATTAATAACATGTTTACGTTAGTTGTCATTCTTTGCCTTCTGGTGAAAGTGTTTTACAAACAGCTTTTATTTAAATTTAAGTTATTAAACCGCTGTATTCTTTAAAGTTTTTATTTTAATTTCTCTCTTTAAACATTATTGTAAACATGGCTTGAAAGTGATTATAGATTTTGTTAAGTTTGCTTTAACTGGACTTGATAATGTAATAAACTTGTTAAAATCAGATTTTCTTCTTGTCACTTTGTGTATTATAAGAATATAATGAAATTATGTTCCTCATGTCTGTTTGTCCAACAGTCTGTATGTTTCCTTTTAACTGATTAAATATCATTTGTCCCAATTAATTAAAAAAAACTGTTTAAGGTCACTAGGTCCAACCAAGGTCATAATTAATGACCTTGAACTTTATTTAATTATCTCTCTAAATACTTTGAAAACTAAATACTTTGAAGTTTTCATTTACACATCTGTTAAACATCATAATGTTATGACTGATTGTTTTTTTTATTGGAAATATGACCTCTCTTGACTGTTTTTTTTTTAAGATCAAAGGTCAAGGTTGCCATAACTTGAAATACACTTTTCAGTCGTTTATGTTTAGTTTAAGGTCACTTACTTCATTACCTACAGAACTATAGATCAGGACATATGTTGATGCACATTTATTTATTCAAACTGTAACACCCACTGTGGTCTAACCAAACATAACACTAACAAAACGAGTTACATGTTGATGATGCACATCAAAGACGCCGCCTATTGATGTGAACAGTCAATCAGCATTGAAAATAAATCATTCTCTATTACAGTTGAAAATCCGAAGCACAAATCAATTTTTTCTCCATGTTCTTGGTATGTTCTCGTTGTTTCATAATTAAATTGCATATTTTTGTGAAAAAGTTGGCGGCACGAAATACCCAAATATAGCAATATTTATTTTTTGTTTCTATAAAATATAGGTTATAATGAGAAATAAATAAATATTTAAAAAAAAATATGACTTAGCCTGCTATAACTTTCATTCATTCCGTTGAAATGGGCAGCTAAGATGTTGTAAGAAAATAAAGTTGTGGCATTTGCTTATATTCTATTGCATTCTACTATATAGGTTCTTTATGAATGTACTTGCAATTTTAAATCAAGATATGATATTTGTTGTCTACACATATATATTTTTAAGGTGTAACTTTGTTGACATTTCATATCATATACAAGTGTCCATGTTATTTCAAAAAAATAGCTTTAATGGAGTACATATATTGTACGTATTTTGGTTCAAAACACAATGATAGGAAAATGTATACATGTATTTGAGTATGTTTGATTATAACTTAGTGAAAGTGTATATTGTATTCATGATTAAAACAGCACTTTTTTAGTATAAAACATTTATTTTTAGTATAATTGGGCAATATTTGGGTATATTTAGGCAATATTTGGGTGTATTTGGGTATATTTGGGTATTTCGTGCTGCCCTGAAAAAGTAGAACCTAATGCATAAATTCACAAAGTAATGCCATGTCTCAAATCTGAAATGATTGTCTTTTGCGACAAAGATTGAAACGTCTGGTCGAAGCAAAATAAATAAGATAAATTGAAATGATTGGTATACTTGAAATAAATTCAAGACATTATGTGCAATTAAATATTGGTGCGAATTACATAATGTTCGAATGATTTTGAGGACGAGATGTTCTGCAGTGTTTTCCCCTTACTGGCCGTAGTGTAACCGCTGCGCAGAGTTTGGCATATTTTCTCACAGGAACTTGAAATTCTATCACTATTAACGATAATATGCAAAATATACCCCCTATATACCTTAAAAAAAACATTTTTATAGTATATAGGGGGTATATTTGGATATTATAATTAATATTGGTTATTTGATAGAATTTCAAGTTCCTGTGATTTTCTTAACGGTTGAGGGGGAACCGCCTCTGTGATAGTGGGCTAGGTTTAGGCTTTGTAACTTGTAATTTAATGATTCGACAAGTGATATTGATCAAAGTTGTCCTGGTTCTCTTCCGGCCCGTCAACGAAGACTAAATGCTAGCATACGGAGCATCATATTAACCTTTACCCTCTGAGCATATTGTGATTCAATGAAAAGCCTCCTGTTCAAGCTGCTATGAAGCTACCAAAAATGCTTCAATACTGATGAAACTTTGCACGACCATAGTCTCTGATCGCAAATTTCCTGTTACCATGGCAACGGTGGGACGTCTCAAAATTGCCAAAAATCACAATTTTGAATTGTTTTTTTCCATCAAAACTGATTTCAAAGTGCTGCAACTTCTCAATGAATTGAGATAGAGTGAAAGGCTTTTCAGCGTCGGTTACTAGTTACCCTAAGATCGATCTGAGGCCATTTTTAGCCTGCCACATGTCCAAAATTTTCTTGGCGATGAGGGGAACTACGCCCCCTTCAAACCCCCCAAACAGAAGGGGGCACACCCCCTTCTGGCAACCCCCTGATGTACCATTTTGATGGGGGCTACGCCGAAAAAGTGGTCACTTTTTTAACAACATTTCTCAAACGAAAAAAACAGCGTTTTGGGTTTAATTAGGGCATTTTTTACTGTTCGAGGCCTCAAAAAAGGGAGACGGGACAAAAAGCCGTCAAACCTCGATCGTCTGTATCATTAGCGACAATTTAAGGCGGAGCCGAACTTCAACTGAGGCGGAGCAAATGAAGTGAGTGACACTGCCTCAGTCGTTACCTCAGTCAACGGTTAAGTTTATAGACTGGCTCATTGGCACGTTATTTATTAGGTAGATACAATTAGATAATGATAATTCAAACATGGCACTATCACTTCAGTTAAACGTTTGTACTAATCCCTTACAGCTCTCTGACATGTTGTTCATCAGAAAAGCTATTTTTATTAGAAAATTTGAAAACAGTTTGATTTTGTTAAAACAAAAAAAAAATACACAAAGTCAAGTCAAAATTTTCCCCATTGCTATGGGGACAAATGCATATCTACTAGACGCCGTTTGCACGCGGCGACTAATAAAATCAAAGTGCACTGACATAGTTACTGTATATGTACCTTGATAGTTTGTATCTGCCACATTCACTTTCAGGTTAAAAGGTCAAAGGTTCCTGTTACATGTATTAAGATCTATCTTTTTTTAGAAAAAATGTGTAAAAGATATTCACTTCCAACTTTATATTTTGTAATTATCAAAATATGACGCCATATTGCAAGGTCAGATAATGTTCAACTTAGATTTGATAAAAAAGTACTGCTTTGTGTTTTATTTATAGAATTTCCTGCCTTAATAAAGGATATTTCAGCTCAGACTTCTTTTTGAACAAAATTAGTATTGTACAGAGATTATATTAAAAGAACGGATTTCTAGAAAACATATCCCGGGTACGGTATGACATCATGTTTGGGTTTTTATACATGCAAATATCACTGTGTTAAATTTGTTTAACCAACCAAAGTGAACTAATCACGATACACTTGCATTTGGTTTGTTCCCAACGACATAATGTATGTTAATTTTGTTCACATATAAAGTGAAAGGTTTTCCAGCACTCAATATCGTCGAAACGATGGTCTCCTATTCTATCATCACTGTGACGTACCATACGCATGCAAGATGGATCACCTTTCTGTCCATTTGGAGCTTTATCTTTCCAGAAATGTTTTCCCATGGGGACCAAAGTATCGTCTGAAAATTTCCAATCATCTACTTTGTTTCTTTCGTTGTAGCCATCCACCCAGTACTGGCCAGTATTTAGACCTGAAAATAAACTACAATGTAGTAAACAATCTTCAACACATTGCAAAACCCTATGCCGGAATAGATAACGATATGCAATGTGAGAAGTTAGACAACTAGTTACACGTTTGCTTTTTTTGTATTCCAAACTTTTGTGAAAGGAACTCCATTATAGTTCAAACGCATTAAACAATAAAATTTTGATTTTTTACACAGACCAGCTGCATGGGCACTTAAAACAGAAAGATTTATAAAAGATAAAAATAATTTGAAACAAATATATTAAAAAATGATGAAGATCGTATTTGTATTTTTAGCTCACCTGTCACAAAGTGATAGGGTGAGCTTTTGTGATCGCTTTTCGTCCGGCGTCCGTCCGTCGTCCGTCCGTCCGTCCGTCGTCCGTCCGTAAACTTTTACTTTAAATGACATCTCCTCATAAACCACTAAGCCAATTTCATCCAAACTTCACAGGAATGTTCCTTTGGTTGTCACCTTTACAAATTGTTCAAAGAATTTAATTCCATGCAGAACTCTGGTTGCCATGGCAACCGAAAGAAAAAACTTTAAATATCTTCTTTTAAAAAACCATAAGAGCTAGAGCTTAGATATTTGGCATGAAACATCTTCTAGTGAGTATCTACCAAGTTTGTTCAAATAAAAGCCCTAGGGTCAAAATTAGCCCCGCCCCATGGGGTCATTGATTTTCCCTATATGCATATAGTAAAAACTTAAAAATCTTCTTTTAAAGAACCCAAAGAGCTAGAGCTAAGATATTTAGCATGAAACATGTTCTAATGGGTGTCTACCAAGTTTGTTCAAATAAAAGCCCTGGGGTCAAAATTGGCCCCGCCCCGGGGGGTCATTGATTTTCCCTATATGCATATAGTAAAAACTTAAAAAATCTTCTTTTAAAGAACTCAAAGAGCTATGGCTAAGATATTGAGCATCAAACATATTTTTAATAGTAGGTGTCTACCAAGTTTGTTCAAATAAAAGCCCTGGGGTCAAAATTGGCCCCGCCCCAGGGGGTCATTGACTTTCCCTATATGCATATTATTAAGTAAAAACTTAAAAAATCTTCTTTGAAAGAACCAAAAGAGTTAGAGCTAAGATATTTAGCATGAAACATGTTCTAATAAGTGTCTACCAAGTTTGTTCAAATAAAAGCCCTGGGGTCAAAATTGGCCCCGCCCCAGGGGTAATTGATTTTCCCTATATGCATATAGTAAAAACTTAAAAAATCTTCTTTTAAAGAACTCAAAGAGCTATGGCTAAGATATTTAGCATCAAACATGTTCTAATAGGTGTCTACCAAGTTTGTTCAAATAAAAGCCCTCGGGTCAAAATTGGCACCGCCCCGGGGGTCATTGATTTTCCTTATATGTGTATAGCAAAAACTTAAAAAATCTTCTTTGAAAAAAATCAAATAGCTAGAGTTAAGATATTAAGCATGAAACATCTTTTAGTGAGTGTCTACAAAGTTTGTTCAAATAAAAGACCTGGGGTCAAAATTGGCCCCGCCCCGGGGGTCATTGATTTTCTTTATATGTGTATAGCAAATACTTAAAATCTTCTTTGAAAAAACCCAAATAGCTAGAGTTTAGATATTAAGCATGAAACATCTTCTAGTAAGTGTCTACAAAGTTTGTTCAAATAAAAGCCATGGGGTCAAAACTGGCCCGGCCCCAGGAGTGTCATTGTTTTTAACTATATGTGTATAGTAAAAACTTTAAAAAAATCTTCTTTTAAAAAGCCCAATGAGCTAGAGCTTAGATGTTTAGCATGAAATATCTTCTTATGGGTGTCTACCAAGTTTGTGCAAATAAAAGCCCTTGGGTTAAATTGGCCCTGCAACATTGGTGGGTGGGGGGGTTGGGGGGGCCTATATACAGGTGAGCGACCTCAGGGCCATCATGGTCCTCTTGTTGTGTTGTTCATAGCCCGATTTGACTTGCAACGATATTCAGTTTTCTGTTGTTGTTTTTTCAATAACAATAAGAATTCTGGAGGGAAAAACGAGTGAGCGAATGGTCTAAAAAATTTTTTTTTTATCAAATATGACCTCGTTTTTATTTCTATTCCTGTCATTTAAAAAAACTAGTGAAATTCCCTTTAATACTGGGCCAATGTAATAAAACTATTGAACACATGTTCAAAGTTTTGGTTTTTGCAACAATATCATAAAAAGTCCACAAGTTGCACGCCGCCCAATTTGGTCTCTAAGAAACGCCAGCCAACACTGGCCACTCGGATAAAAACTAAAAAAGTGAAGGTCGATTGGCCATTACAAAAACTGACATCTGGGAATCTCATTGAACGTTCGAAATTTTATTACATATTATAAAACAAAGGAAAGCAGTTGTAACCTAATATTAAGTAGTTTCAGCCTTGCAGTTCAGAGTTTACATATGAAATATGTTCTGAATTCAAATAATCCAAAACAATAAATCCAGGTGGCACAGTGGACAATTTTATTAAAGATACTTGTTATTTCTTTGTTATGGTGGCTGATTTGTGCCATGTTTTATTTTTGCTCCATGTTATCATGTTTTCGTCTGACGCCCAACAGAGGGAAATACGACATGCCACGGCATGCCACAAATCAGCCAGCCAGCATATTTTTTGTACTAGTGCATTAGTCCATTGTAAACATATCACATTGTACCTGGACAGTCACGTATTAGTGCTTGAATAGCGTCGAATTTCCATTTCTCGTCGATTTTGACCAATTTCCCGCCAACAGTTGAGCAGAATTCTGCGGCGTCAGGTTGTGACATCGTGGTGGTGAATATTTGTATTTTTGACTGTGAACAATACAGTTGAGTCATCCGAGCAACCACTGACGAACACCCTGGTATCATTATAAAAGGAAAAGTGATGAATCAGTGGGGGGTTCAAAAACTGAAATCATATTGTCACCGGAAAACGAATCCAATCTTCTTTTGATATTTAAGATACAACGAAAACTTATTCACCGTAGATGCACGGAAAATGACGAAAATAAAATACAATAATTACATATGTAATCATAAGTATAATGATAAATATAATCGTAAACAAATGATGATGCCCATTATGATGAATAGCTTGTAATCAGGTACAGCGATCGGAAAGCTAACTATACATATCCAGCAACATTACGTGTATTGGTTACGATCCCGAATCGCATTGCCGAATAGCATTTATAAAAGCTAATATCTTTTCTTGCTAATTTTTATATTAACAAAATCGTTTAATTGGTAGTTTTAGAACAGATTAAGTATCCAGACCAAATCCCTTGATCAAACAAACCCTTGATTAACTTTGGGTAAAACGTCCGAAAGCCTCTCAATGGGCAATCAAATGCCCAGCGATAAAAGGGAACACAATAAAGGTTGACAAAAAACCCTCAAATGAGAAAAGTGAAAGTATTTCAGCTTAATATTTATCACACAATCCCGAGGATAATGAATGAGTGAAGGTGCAATATTGAATTTATTGAACGAGTGACCCTAAATCAAAATAATATTCTATTTATAACGTACCAAAAGATCCTGTATGTTATAATTGAGGTGGTATACCAAATTTAAGTGAAATTATAAATATGTATATCGAGATATTTAAACATGTTTACACCCTAGTTACAGAGAGCCATCGGTGATTGATCGGTAGATTTTTTTAGCCAAATTATGAAGTCAACCGGTGACGACGCATTTAACACCGTTATCACCTATTGGTCACCTGTTTTTCACCTATCAACTGCTATTTGGGAAAGATAAGTTTTATCGGTGAACATTACCGATTGGGATTTTTAAACATGTTTAAAATTCTCGATCGGTGAAAATATTTTACAAATAACCGACAGCACTTATATCACGATATATGCAAGCTCTAAATCATCGATATTGCCGATCGGACAAAGATAACAAAATATGAGTCACCGGTCATATCTTACGGAAAGTGTTATAGAAGAAATAGAAAGAGCATCGAAACACGAGGGTATCTGATTTGTTCGAGGGGGCGTAGCCTCCGCGTATTTATCAGATTGCCTAGTGTTTTGATGTTCTTTCTGTTTTGTATCATAGTCAAACATAAAATCACGATCCCTGTTGTCACAATATAAAACCCAAGAAAAAAGGAGCCAATTAACGAGCATCTGAAAACGACATTTCTATCGCTTTCTCTTTCTCTTCCGTCACAATAAGTAAACCCCAGCAAATATTAGTCAATCAATAGGCATGCTCTGGAGTGCGGGTAACTAATACCTGCACTCCAGTTAACGCACTGTGCATGTATATGTATACGATTTAACTCTGACACATTTTCAACAGAAAGGTCCCCAAACTATGATACAACCACTGATGACTAGCTATCAAACACCGATTAATCAGCGTTACGCCCGATTTAGCTCCGATTTACAAACGATAAAAACCGATAGTATTTCAGCATTTTTATCACCAATCCAATTTCGTTTGAGTTTGCTTTCTGTCACCGATGGCCGTTTACACAGAAAACCAGTAATAAAATCACGCATGTCAAGCGATCATAACAGCGATAAATGACCGGTTCGGGACCGACCGTCTTTGTAACTGGCCCTTTGCATATAAACATAGCGTAAAAGCGTTACACTATAGGCGCTTCAATGAAAAATGACTATTATAGCTGTTCTTAAACCGTTCTTATTTTAAATATGTGATTGATAGAATATTATATTTGTGTAGATTCAATATTAAATTTTTATTGAACTCGTCAGAAGCTTGCATGTTTATGATTTATCCAACTCGTTCAATGAATTTAGTATAAAATCTACACTCATTCAATAACTTCTATGAATCGTCATTTTGCAATACATGTACAATATATATTATGCGAAGCCATATGTTTACATTTGTGGACTTTTTATTCATTCAAGTACATATAAAACTGTACATTTTGATAACGCACATAGATAATTTATATTATTAACGCTTTCATTTGAATATGTATACGTACTTTACCATGTCATTTGAACATGGAATGATTGAATATAAGGAGGCAGTTTATCATAATGATAAGTCATAAATGTCTTATTTGTTATCTTTGTATTTTCATATTTTGATTTCATTGAGTGGCTTTTGACTATATTTCATAAATCATTCGAGTGGCTCATGTCAACAAAGAATTAAATAAATTAGAAACAACTCACGGTCTACTGTTGAACTAATTTCCCATTCCCCGCTAGACGAGCATTCTAGCGCCTGGACATCTACCACGCCATTTCCATTTCGTTTACATGAGACAATCTTGGAGCCTATCTCATTCATATTACCTTGATGAACCTCATTTTCCAAAATCTCTTGTCTTTGACATTCTGTTAGAGTAAATGACTGTATTAATTTATCAAAGCACTGAAAGTACTTCATAGCAGCGAATTAGAATCGGTTACTTTTATATAAAAGTTGAGGCGTTCAGATACCAGTCAAATTGGGAAAAAAACGCACGCAATAAAATTGTATCACAAAGTATTTCATTATTTAAGCAGCATGCCTTCAGACTCATGTGCATTTTCATGAAAATTGCAAAAATGGATAAAAATTGTTATGTTGTGAAGTGAACAAAGAAAGTAATTAACACATTGCAAACGGCACTTACAAGCTACGTAAATTACCTGACAGAGGTCAAAATATTCAGAAATAGCCCTTACTGAGTCACACAGTAGCAATCTGGGGATAAATACTGTCAAATCAGTCATTTATCGCTTACAATATGTAAATTATAACTATTGTAGTTTAAAAAAAGAAAAAAAAAAAAAGAAAATCCAAATGTCTTCTGCTAAGAAAAAGAGGGTTTGTTTTTTATTGAACTGATTATAAATAGAACTGATTATACATAATTTTATTGCAATACGTGTCACTTATAACAATAATTACATACACAAATAAGCATTCTTACGTCTGATATTCGTTTCATTAGAACGGAAATTAGGTGTTTTCGATGTCTTACCTTGTTTCGAACACGTGCTTTCGGTTCCGGTGGACTGATTCGCTTGCCACTCGCCGCATTCATTGCTTTGATCCGCATTTATTGATTCCTTAATATCAAAGTAAGTTGTTGAATTATTTTACATTCTAAAATTAATAAGAATATTCAAAATGATAAAAAAAAACGAAAAAAAAACAATCATATAAATTTTAGGAATATTATATCAAAGTTTGGCAATACTTCAAAGTTATAAGTTGCGTACTAAGATAGCTTGAATTTAAGACATTACAACTTTGCCCTATTTCAGAGCACAGTACAAGACAAAGGGTTATTTATATCGCAATATACTCTGAAAGAATATCTTGAAAATACAAAGATACACTTACATCCGGGCTCTGAATGTCGTCTTTCTTCACAATCACACAGTGCCCACGGTTAGTTGATGCAGGCGTAAACTCCGTGTAAAGCTCGCATAAAGTATACAAACGCTTGTATCCGGCCGCAAAGCAATGATTTCTTCTAAAACACTCGTCAATACAGACTTCTAGAGAAATTTTCTCCAGCGACAGGAATTTACTTTCTTCCGGGGGACACGTATTCCATTTTGAAATTCGAAAATTAGCGCTGCAGTAAATTGTTGTTATCGAAACATATATTACAAATGCCAGAATTCTTTTATTTATTAACTCCATGACGACTTTGAACGGTCTGGAACTGTTAATTGAATAAAATAAAATCCTCTTGGAGAATTAAAATCAATGTTGCGTTGTAGGTAGATTCTCCCTCAAACCCTCCATCTGTTTGTGCGCTTATCATTCATAAATAGTTTATTATTTGAAGAAATGTTGACTTAGACTAGTATTCTGCTACAAAACTGTTTAAAGGCACATAATGCCCAGGAAATCCACCTTTTTAAAGTCTTTAAAAATGTCAATCAAAGAAGTATTTTGACTTCAAACAGAAGTACAGATGCAAACGATGGTCCTTGTATAAAGCACACGGTTATGTTTTTGGAAAATGTAACATGATACCAAAAATAAACAGTTTTTGAAAAATGAAAATGATAGCATTTGTCAGACATAATGGCCCTTTAAAATCACAAATTAAATACATATAGGTAAGAATTAGATATTTTAATAAGTCATAAACTCATACAATTGAAACATTGTCCAGATTTACATACAAAATAAAAAACAATTAACAAAATATTGACAAAGATATCATGACAACGAAGTTAATCGCGGCGCACGTCAAACGCCAAAAATTTATTACTGTTTACAACGTTGGTAGAAAAACCTTACACCACGGAAGTTGTAAATTTATAGCTTCTTTAAGAAAAAAAAATGCACAATGAAAAGATAACATTTTTTGTTATTACTTTCCGAAATTTAACTCGCATATAATATGCAAGAAAAGGAATCATACATCGGCTGCCGTCACAGACGGTAATATCTAGCTCTCGGGTAAGTGTTTAGCGGTTCCAAACTTTGCAAAGCCTCGTTACCGTCGTCTGTACCGACAGCCGGTGTTAGAACCTACATTAAGTGCTTTTCTCTCATAGTTTATGTGTGTGCGTGCACACAACCATCTACATGTATTCATAACTCCTCTTTTATAACCATGTGTCCAGTGCTCGTAAAGGACGGGCATTATATAAACATAACCAGAAAAGCATTGATGCAAAGCATCAAAGGCGACGCCAAAAAAATTGATCAAGTTTTGCACCTAAATACTTAACAAAACATGTGTACTTTATAGCATTACCAATATATGTGACCTGGAGGCTAGGCCCAGTTTAAGTTGAAACTTAAACCAAAAAGAATAGACTCTGTCTTGCCAAGATGCACATACTCATAGTCTTAATCAAAATCACAATTTATATATTTTATAATTATTTTTACTAAAAAGGGCTTAGACAGTCATTGGTTGTGCCATTATTATTCATAACAGGTCAATTTGAAAGTGAACATAACTGTACTATAAGGGTACAATACCTTTTTTTTGAACAGATAAAAAAAAACTTTTTTCTATGATAAGAAATTTTATGAAGGTTGATTTTGTATTTTGCATCAGGGGCACCAGGCGAAACATGAAAATGCAAAAAAACGAACCACTTTGTGGTAGACTGTATTTTCATGTTTTCATCTGGTGCCCGGTTACTTTTTGTACTTTGTTGGTTTTCATGTGGCACAAATCACCCACTATAAAATTTAGTGCACAAATTTATTCAAGGGCAAGTAACAATCTACTCTATGAAAAGTCTGTTGTCGGGTTGACTCTGGAGACCTGGAAGTTGAGACACTGGTGTCCCTCCATTACAATAGATAAGACAGAAGCTGTCCTTTTCAAACCAAACTACAGTATGCACATGTTAGAAAAAAAATTAGAATAACTTTTCAGAATATGATTTTTTGAGACTTTATTAATTATATTGCTTGATCAAAGTTTAAGGACATTTTCAATCAATACATGTATTATCATTTATAACTTTAAATGAAAGTCTCATGACTCTCATCCCTTTAATAATAATGTTATAACTGTAACTCTTTAAGTACAGAAATATTATAAGTCTCATCATATCAATATACTAAGATATACATGTATGCACATAATATTAATAATTCCCAGTTTCTATTAAATAAATATGAAATCCTAACAATAACATTAACATTGGTCTTATCCATCATAACTGTAAGTCTTTAAATACAGAAATACACATTATATCCATATACTAAGATATACATGTATGCACATTACATTAATAATTCCCAGTTTCGATTAAAAATAAATATAGCATCCTATTAACAATAATTCATAATCTTGTAGAAAGAAAACTATTATAATGTACATGAATAGATGTTCGTGAAGTTGGCAGCCTAGCAGCCTAGCAGCCCAGCAGCCTGAAGTTGGCAGCCTAGCAGCCTAGCAGCCTAGCAGCCTGGCAGCCTAGCAGCCTGGCAGCCTGGCAGCCTAGCAGCCTAGCAGGTAGGCGTAAACTAAGAATAGTACAAACATGAAATCGTCGGATATGAATCGGAAGCACATACTTAGACCATTGCACGTCTTATTTCAGTATCGCGATCTTTATTTTTTTAAATATTGAACTTTGTTTTGTTTTTTATTTTGACGCTTCGAAATTTGTGAAGTTAGCAGCCTAGCAGCCTGGCAGCCTAAAGAAAACTAAGGAAAATACAAACACGTAACCGTCGGAAATGAGTCGATAGCACATACTTAGACTATTCCACGTCTTTTTTCAGTATCGCGAACTTTATTTTTTTAAATATTGAACTTTGTTTGTTTTTTTTTTGTTTTTTTTTTTTGACACTTCGAAATTTGTGAAGTTAGCAGCCTAGCAGCCTGGCAGCCTAGCAGCCTAGCAGCCTAGCAGCCTAAAGAAAACTAAGGACAATACAAACATGTAAACCGTCGGAAATGAGTCGGTAGCACATACTTAGACTATTCCACGTCTTTTTTCAGTATCGCGAACTTTATTTTTTTTTAATATTGAACTTTGTTTGTTTTTTTTTTGTTGTTTTTTTTGACACTTCGAAATTTGTGAAGTTAGCAGCCTAGCAGCCTGGCAGCCTAGCAGCCTAGCAGCCTGGCAGCCTAACAGCCTAAAGAAAACTAAGGGCAATACAAACATGTAAACCGTCGGAAATGAGTCGGTAGCACATACTTAGACTATTCCACGTCTTTTTTCAGTATCGCGAACTTTATTTTTTTAAATATTGAACTTTGTTTTTTTTTTGTTTTTTTTTGACACTTCGAAATTTGTGAAGTTAGCAGCCTAGCAGCCTGGCAGCCTAGCAGCCTAGCAGCCTGGCAGCCTAGCAGCCTTAAGAAAACTTAGGACAATACAAACATGTAAACCGTCGGAAATGAGTCGGTAGCACATACTTAGACTATTCCACGTCTTTTTTCAGTATCGCGAACTTTATTTTTTTAAATATTGAACTTTGTTTGTTTTTTTTGTTGTTTTTTTTGACACTTCGAAATTTGTGAAGTTACCAGCCTAGCAGCCTGGCAGCCTAGAGCAGCCTAGCAGCCTGGCAGCCTAGCAGCCTAAAGAAAACTTAGGACAATACAAACATGTGTAAACCGTCGGAAATGAGTCGGTAGCACATACTTAGACCATTCCACGTCTTTTTTCAGTATCGCGAACTTTATTTTTTTTTAATATTGAACTTTTTTTTTTTTTTACTCTTCGAAATTTGTGAAGTTAGCAGCATAGCAGCCTGGCAGCCTAGCAGCCTAGCAGCCTAAAGAAAACTAAGGATAATACAAACGAAAAGAGTCGGTAGCACCTACTTAGATCATTCCACGTTTTATTTCAGTATCGCGATCTTTATTTTTTTAAATATATAGAGGATATTTGTTTATTTTGCATGTAAGATCGAAATATAATTTCACTGAGTGAACACCAGATGCAATATTTTCACGAGTGGCGTAGCCACGAGTGAAAATATAATAGCTGGTGTTCACGAATGAAATATATTTCAATCTTATATGTAAAACAAATAAATTTTCTTTTTATTTCATGCTTTTTAATTGATTTTAAGTATTTTTTACTGATTTTGCCGCGTAACGTCGCGCATTCTCCTTTGTGACGTCATCACATCATGACGTCACATCATAATTTTGAAATATAGTTCTGTTAAATTTTGTCTAATTTTGTTACATTTTTAACATGATGTATGATGACATCGACTTTCTTTTCCTAAAGAAGCAAAATTTACGCATGACAGCATTTATTTCTGCCTGTTATTCTATTTCGTTATGATTTTCTATTTATCCGCATTCAGATATAGTCCGGCTACAGTGAAAATTATATTTTATAAATTTCACTAGTGGTTTATCAGAATATAATCATCTGATATATTACAATAAAACACTTGAAAGCATGAAATAATAAATTTTATTTTATTTTTCATTCTGACGCTTCGAAATTTGCGGGATTAAACATGTTTATCACACACCCGTGCCGATTTTGCGACTCCGTAAATATGGTATTGCACGGCCGTGCATATATTTTGACGTGACGTTATAAGCGTAATACAAATATAATGTAAAGACGCGCTAAATATTAGCGTTAAACTATAGGCGCGTCAATGAAAAATGACTCTTATTTCACTTTAAACGGTCTTTATTTTGGGTATGTGATAAATAGAATATTAAATTCGCGTAAGTTCATTACTGAATTTATTGCACTCGATGAATAAAATAATATTATGCTCGCCAGAGGCTCGCATAATATAATTTTATTCAACTCGTGCAGTAAATTCAGTATTGAACTTACACTCATTCAATATCCTCTATTTTCGAATAACGTAGGAAGTAGTCTTAATCTTAACATTTTCGCGGCTAATAATGTCGCTGTCTTTGGACAATAAGCGACGTCATGTGACTTATTTATGATATGCTATTTTGTATGTATATGTTTATAATGAAGTTGACGATGTTCAACGCATATTTATTTTAGGTCTGTAAAGATAAATCGGTTGAAATGTATAGAGAATAATAGGTTGGTGCCGTGGATGGAGAAAGTTTATCTGGCGAGGCGGAGGAATTTATTGGGTGGGCACCAATCTATTATTCTATTTATCCTGTCACCGTTTTTTTTTTTTAATTTATTAGGCAAACTACCTTTAATCATTTATATAAACAAAGAAGGACCGAAGCGTGCATTATTCTACAACAATGCACTCGCCCTTCTTATTATCTCCCTGTGTATTTTCACATTGAGGGCGTCATTTTGATTGAAAAATGTGATAAATAAAAACATTTTTTGTCGAATTTTGTTCTGAAAACTATCTAGAATGATAGAAAATGGTCTAACTAAGAAAATGAATTCGAACACCAATATTTTTTATTCAGTCGTTAACGCTGTACAGACGTTTAAAGTATTGTTTACGTGACGTCACAATGTAGCGCAAGTCAGCACGTGCAAAACAATCAAATCAAGTACGCTATTTTAATGTCGCAAACGAGTTAAGTTTTACATTTATTTCACTTTTAATAATTTTCATTTCGCTTGAAAA